TGTAGTGATCGGCTTGGCGAGGGCATAGGGACACTCCATGACTTGATGGACCGACGTGACTTGTGCGTAACTGGAGCATTCTTTCCCTCGTCAACAGCTGACCCGTTCGAGAACATCTATACTCCGAGAAGCATCTTTCTTTACCTATTTATGGCCCCGGCAGCCTGACGTCGCTCCCAGCCTGCTGCACGATGGACTTCGAGCCCGGCGGATCGCCGAGCGGGGCGGGGGCTCAAAGCATCATAAAATGAAAAGGACATCTACGTGAAGCCAGAACCGATAGCCAGGGCTTCAGCTTTTCTGCCGCGTTTTTCCCAGAGGGGGATCCATGTATGTATGAACGGCCGTTCATTGATCTCGGCTCTCAGTGCGCGCGACTCGATCCAGTGCGGAGGTCGCGAGCTCTCGACATTCCGTCGAGGAAGGGCCAGGATTCAGAATCTCTGATTTCAAGGCGCGAATCTCACTCTCGACCAGGGGCAGAAGCCCAACCTTTCACGTCGCACACATCGTCGCTACGTGGGCACGCAAAATCCTCCGATACTGCTTGTGATGGAATAAATCACTCAACGCGCTGTCTATGTAGGTCTTATTCTACTTCTTCCGGCAATGGTACCGGTGAGATTCAAGGCGAATGCGGGGAACTGTGCGGGGTTGGTGGCGCATTCCCTAACAACGTTCGTTTGCTGTTGTCGTGATTGCTCAGGAACAAGCTGTGTGAAAGCTCGCTCAAAACTCTCCGTTGGCTACCGAATGGCTCTTGCCCTCCCGCTACCCCCGCCCCTGCGCTCGGTGGCCTGTCATCCCGGTTTGCTGCTCCGGTGCGTATATTGCTGCCCACTTCTCATAAGGGGCCTGAGAAAGCAGAGATGCCTCAAATTCCAGACGCAACTTCTCCGTGCAGTGAAGAAGCGCCGGAGAAACAGCAGCAGCGACCCAACCGTTCCGGCGGAGTCGAGAGCCTCAAAGATTTTGGATGAACGAGTTCAGGATGCGATATAAACTTGCACCTTGCGCGTGTCGGCAGGACTCACGAGTCGATGGGAGGCGCTCGAGTCTCCCGGTTTTGATCTGGACTCCAAGTCATGACCGCAATCCAAGTTCCGATTTGTATTGATGGAACGAATGAAACTCTTTTTTTTTCTTCCTCGAGCGGAGATACTTCGTGAGCTTTTGAGATTCGAGCAATGAGACTTGATTGGGCTGGTCGCGCTCAAACTCTCGGACATTATTTTCCCTCGATCGACATCTCCTGAGAGAGGAGAAAAACTCTCGAATTCAATTGCGCGCAAATGTTCCTCAACGAAGCAGTCGCGTCGGTAGAGAGAATATCCCGGCTGAGCTTCGACTGTAACTAATTCACACGGAGGGAAACGCTCGGAAGGGAAACGGAGCGTCCAGATAGAGCGCACATCAAAGCGTCATCGGCTCCTCCCTGCAAACTGTCTGATTGAGATGCTGCGCGACTTCAATCGATCCCGCGCTGCCCGAACGTAAGTTTGTTTGGCTGAATTTCCCGACTCGTACCGAATCTATCCCAGTGGCTGTTGACAACTCAGAACGACCTCACACTGAGCCCAAAGGACGAACCGTCGCGTACTCCCCGTCGTTCCGTAGACATCTTGTGCCGAGGAATCTGATTGGGCTCAATGCAGGACGCGAACGAGCATGTCTCTCTCGAAGTCCACGAGACTTCAAGAAGGAATGGGGGAGCTTGATGGGTCATGCACGATCCTGACTTGTGATCTAAATCTCTCAATCGTTCACCAATTCGTGCCTGAAGAAAAGACTACTTCCAGCGAAGTTGCTTCGTTGATCTGCCGTGTCCTTTGCATTCGAACGGCGCATGGAATAAGTTCAGTTACTGCCGCTACAAGATCTGTTGTTGCTGTCATTGTTATTATTGTTTCCCGACTCGAATCCCGATTGAGATGCTAATTCCCTCCAGGAAGAAGACGGTTTTGACAGCGGCTGATTAGTGACGCAAAGCCGGCGACGCACGGTGCGTTCCGAAGCAGCAGCAGCAACGGTGTCTGTAGAAACCTCCGCAAGTCTTTGAAACCAAATAAAACTCAATCCTGACGGTCACGTCTCGTCTCACAGACCATCGCTGGAACTGCGGCTTCCGCCTCCGCCGACTAGTCCCGCCCCCCTCCAGCGATGGGGATTTCCTCGATCGCGACCTCGGCGTGTCTTCTCGCGGAGTCAGACCCATTAGCCGAGACGACTCAATCAATTTGAACGAGCCAAACAACGGAACAACGAGCTCGCGAGGCCTTAATTCGGAAATCATTGCATTCCAGAGCGTTCGTCTCATTGAGTCAACGATAGGATTCATCGGATGCTGCGGTCTCGATGACCACTACGAACTCGTTCAGCGCGCGATCGGACAACACGGTGTCGAGGGTCTCCCGGTTCCCTGAAGAGTCTCTCTCCGAGTGGTTTGACCCGTCATTCCGGACTGCGGATCAAGTTTTCCGAATACCGTTCTCCCGTTCGAGAGATCCGGACTGCCGGACTGCGAACGAACGGAGAGAACAGTCAGCACGTCGACCCACTGTTATTTCTTGTTCTACTCCCTCGGCCGACCGAGGGCGAGACCGAGAAAAACAAAGTTTCTTCAAAGTAAATAATGTATCCTCTCGCCGGATATGGGGAGAAACTCGCCGAGCGATCATTCCATTCATCGATTGCTAGGAAACTCGAAGCTCCCGGTGTTGAGCCACCCCTTCTCGGGCCGGAGGCTGGCTTGTTATGTAAACACGGGATATTATCCGTCGCCGTCCTTCCGTAGCCAATCCCTTCATCACCTAACTCGCTCGAATACTTGTCGGTCCCCATGTCCTGCAAGCGCTCGCTCTGGACCGGCGCTTGGCGTGCGTGTCTAGCGAGAGAGCCAACTCTTCTTAGTTAGTTCTCTCTTCACATCAACTCACACCGACGAACTTTGTAAACATTCGGAAGCGAGCGTGCACTTGGCAGATTGCCCAACTGACAGACAGCTCCACTCGGTGGATGCCCGAACGGCTCGCCCGAGGCTCGAAATCGGAAGCAATGCTTTCTGGTCATCGCTCCGTAAATTATCTAAGTTAATTGCTGTCAGGGAGCCAAGAGCAGCGCCGCGGAATCCTTCATCGAAATATCCACAAGCGTTGAGCTCACATTGGGACTTCTCTCCGCTGACGGACACCCCGAAACCATAGGATCCGGGAACAAATCCATGGGAATGTCCCGCTGAGGTCGCCCGGAGCCTCTCCTCGACGGGGACACTCTGGACCGGAGCTGTCTGGGTTTTTCGGCGTGATCTCGCTCCCCACCGGGGAACCAGGGACTGCTGGCAGTCGCGTTACGTTCGTCGATTCCGAGGTGAGCTACGGAGGACGAGCGAAACAGGGAACACAGGCTACGGTAACCACTCCCAGAGGATTATCGACGTAGCAAACGATCGCGCAAGCCCTACGGACTCGTGTTATTCCGGTCTAGTCCGCCGCGATAGATGATCGAGGCGAACTTCGCTCCCGGTGCAGCGTTTGTTGTTCTTTCGCATTCTGACGGCTCTGTCACTTGCGACGTTATTCGGCTACGGGACTTACCTCACGTTGCGGACCGTATATCCGAGCTCCGTTGGGCTTGGACGCTACACTCGACGTAATCCTGGGCACATAAAGTTACATTCACTATTGATTCGCCCCGAACTCGAGTCTGTCGTGGACTCGGACCATCCAGTGTCAGGTGCACACCCGCTGCTGCTGCTGTCGCCGCCGCCACCACCACTACCACCAACACCACACTACTTCACTGGCTGTTTGGCGAATTGCTCGACTCTCGAGTGCGCGTTGGATCGACACGACGGCGCTAGCTGATGTAGCCGGGCATTCAGAGCGGCAACTCGTAACAACGGACTCGAGTGAACGATCTTAGTACGCTCAGATCATCATCACGCAACATTGGCACGGTGTCCTCTCCTCACCACCGCGGCAGCCGAAACCTGAGAAACCGACACAGAAGCCACCCAAAGCAAAAGACTCCATTTTGAAGGCGGACAGCGCCCCCTGGCGCCTCCGGTGTCAAGTGCGGCCAGAAGGCGCGCCTAGATTCGAATGGAATGCTTCGAATTTTTTTCATTGTCCAACTGCCCGAGGATCCGATGTGCGTTTTGGCTTCACGTCCGCTTTGATTGTACGGCGTACTGTACGGCGCTTGCTTGCATGCCCGGGAATGCTCGAATCGCTGCGTTTTCGGGGTCTATGGGGGGAGCGTTCACGGGAAACGCGGGACGGAATTCCCCATGGATTCTGCCGATAGGAGAGAGTAGGCGATGATCTGTGCTGAAATTTCCTTCGCGACTTCGGGCGATCCCTTCCGATCCTGCTATTACCGTAACCGTGATCCACAGCATCAAACACAGTTTTCACGCATACTAAGGCGATCTTGGCTTTTTTGCGATACGGGCTTTCTCTCTCAGCCCGAGTCGCTTCTCGTACACTCGCGCGCGGCAATCGGAACTCGTTTCGCGGCTATCCGTGCTGATTTCCTGGATTATTGCGAAGACGTAAATCGTCCAAGCCTTCCGAGACTTCCCTCGATAAGATCTCTGTGTTGACCTCGCTTAAATTCCTACAGCCTTCTGTTATCTCACTCAAGATGTTGCCATCTCTGAGGGCATTACAAACGATAATGATATGCATATGTATGAGGTAGAATCCATTTGTAGCATACACAAAGGATAGATCCCTCTCCTTATGAACGGGAAAGAAGACAAGATATCCTGGGCCTTCAGTGAGGCGGTGGAGATAGGGAGACGCCGAAATTCCGCCTCCTAGAGCACCAACTGCAGAATTGAGTTACTTCGATCGCATCTTGGTCCCGAAGAACCGTGAAGAGGCATCGATGTGGTATCCCCCTGCCCGGGATAGACGAGGGTCAGACTCCCTCGATCGATTCCTTAGAGTGGCACATTCTTCGGAGGGCATCTCGATCCAAATTAAAAATTGAGAAGCTTTTGGGGAACGCACCGAATTTATTCATTTCTAAATCAACGAGTTATTCTTCTGGCTCTGCAGTCGGCGCTCGAGCTCGTCCCGCCGGCGCGTTCTGTGAAGGGGCTATGAGGAAAGGTGTTTTATCCAGAACCAGTCTCTCAAGAGACGGTGGACAAGACAGGAATATCTCGGTGATGAAGCTATTCGGTGGTCGTCCTCTGGGTCCTAGATGGTTCACCTGCGGAAGAAGACGAATGAATGCTCCGCTCGTGTCCAGCGACAGTGAGGCGCGAAACCGACCTCAGGCTACGCGGGGAGAGCAAAAACGAAGACTGACAATCACGGACGCTCCCTATTCTCTCTCACTTCTCGAATTCCCAAATCTATTTCCCAAATGGGAGAAATCGATACTGACCCCGACGAAGAGTTCCTTGATATTCGCCCGAATGTGGTCGATGGGCATTTGGAGCCGCGCGATCGGTACCGTGAAGGCAGCGTAGTCGGGCTCGTACAAATCACCCGAAGCCGAGAAGAGAACCGCTTTGCGGTGGCGTTCGATGAGGTTCAGCACATCTTCACTGATAGCGTCTGTGTTCCCCAACCGAGGCATTTGCTTCTTGAGAATGTTCTTCAGCGATTGGATTTTCTCATACATGTTGAGATCGCAAACGACCGTATCGAACGAAGCTACGTCAACTTCACCAGCCTCTATCTTCTTGACCAATTGCTCGCCTCCCGCCAAATTGGCTCCTCTTTCCAATGCCAAAGTAGCTTCGTCCGGTGATTTCGTGAAACACAGTATCCTCGTGACTTGACGTTTGTATTCGAAGAAATGAGGCAGTAGCAGGGAACCCTGTGGTGATTCAGATTCCTCTTAAGGGGCTGGAAATACCTCAGACCCTGCGACGTGTTTCTGTTTCAGGGCACCAATCGCCCGGAGAGGAGCCGGGAGAAGCTCACTTACCGAGATCTGATCCACGAAATGACCCCTCTTCTTCGACGTCATATCAAGTTCCACGGTCGCCATAACTAATGAGTTCGCATGATTGTACATCTGCGGGTGGAGGACCTCTCGATGCATCTGGATACATGACTCTAGATCGAACGTTGGTCGCACGACTTCTTTCAGCAGATGCACATCGTCAGAGTTTATCTGTTTCGGCCAGTCCTTCTCTGTGTACCTTGAAGATTCGTGATCGTCTTATTTTCATGAGCTCGATATGCGGGGAATAAATCCGTCCTGGATAGCTCTAACTCACCTCCGACTCCCTAGAACCGTTCTTTTGAGCTTCGATTTCTGGATCTCGGCGAATGTTTTCTTCGGTTGTTCGAGCTTCTGTAACTTTCGGATCCGGTTCCTCTTCCTGTTCTCCGCAAGAATCTTGAAGTACTTCTGTGTAGGGTAGCCACGAACTTGTTCCACGTACGGGGTCTGCACCGCGAGCGACAGCAAACCCGAAGAGGGCTTTCGAAGCCCCTCGAGTAAACCGCGCAGCATGCCGACACTCATGTTTGTTGTTGGGAACCGATCGACGATGAAGCGGATGAGCGTAGTTGGAAGAGCCCGAGCGGTGCTTCGTGTGCTGTGTGGGCTCTTCTCGAAAGGGCGTCGTTGGATACAGGGTTTCGGGGAGAGGAGCGCGGTCGTTCCCGGGAGTGACGGTGGAAAGATGAGAATCCATGAATGATTAGGTGAGCTTCCGACGGGGATAATTCCGAGTGCATTCATCGAGAGGAAAACACTGTTCGGCAGAGTCGGCCATGAAATCCGTCTACTACATTCGGTACTACAATGGTTTTCCCTCAGTGATTTCCGGTCTTCTCAAGGGTCAGGAGTAGCTACCAGCGGAAGTCAATGTACACTCGAGAGAGGAGTTGGACGACTTGACGAACCGCAAGCTGCAAGACGACACAGACAGGAACGAAGGACAGGGAGAACCTCGGGAGGCATATAGAAAATGGGATATATAAAAAAAATATAGAAAAATGATACAAGCAAGCTCGAGAGCGGCTCCAATCACCTCAAAACTGAGAGGACCGCGGAAAAGGAGCTCGACCGTCAGGGTGGAGGGGGTTACCATTTCGACTTATTTTGCGGTGTTGCCTTCTCCCGAAATCCCCTCAGGTGTTCGGGTTTCCCGTGCGCCCCTTGGAGGCCTTGCCCAATTACTTGAGCCTGGTGCTGTGGTTCTGCGAAGATACTGCGACTTGCGGGGACGCTGCACTCGCCCCCTGCGTGATCCAACTGAATGTCTATATCAGACGCCGCAGATGATTCGGAGGAGAGCCGAAGAGTCCAGTCTCTCTCTGTACCGCTGTCTCTTGGGACGAGAGGCAGGAATGCGTCGAAGGGAACGAGAAGTTTCTGCAGTACGCTTTCTGCTCGACATCGGGCGTGCTCTCCGACCGGGATCCGATAATGGCGGGACGAGCGTGCCCATGTCATCCTTTTCTTCGCTCTCGTCTCCCTGCTCTCCCTCCGGTCACACCGCAAGAGACCCCAAGGACCTGCTGAGCGAGGTTTGGGTCGGTGAGCAATTGCCAATTAATTCTCACCTGGCATCCGTACAACGAAAGGGGGGGACCTCGAGCTCGAGCTCGAGACCTCTTCTAGATCCGCCGGAAACCTGACGCGATGAGAATCGGATGGGAACTTCCCCGCGAACCCACATGGAACAATTCCCCCAGGGTAGCCGCTTTCCGGATTTGAACCAGCCACCACCCGAACGAAAGAGTGAGGTTTGACGAAGTGAAGGCTTACTGTGCGGATCTGCTTGAGCCGTGCCGTCTTCGTAGACGTCGTATCGAAATTGATCCCATGGATCTTGGAGTGGATCAGAAATGATTTACTCGAGAAATTCGAATTTCCCGCACAAGAGCGTTGTTACCCGGGGTTCCCAGGCAGACTTCATCGCTGACTGGAGATTCCTGAATGCCATTCCCGTCATTGCGACGCCGACGTCGGAAGATTGGCCTCTCGATGCCGCTTCTCCGGACACTTCCTAACCTCTGGAAGCCCACGGAGCGAAATCACAACGTTCCACGGAAGGACTTGTCGTCGCGAGGCCATTGGATTCACATTGCAATTTCCTCCTGCAACACAGGTGTTTTATTAAAAGCAGAGATATCCCTGAATTGCGAGCCCGGAGGAGCTGGGTGGCCAAGGAGATCAAGCCGAACGTTTATTCGCCAAACACGCCACATCTGACTGCGCCAGAAACGGTGATCGGAGTAGTTTTGTCTAGTCTTCGTCAGGAAGTTCAGCGTCAGCACCTCCGAACTAAGCGTGCATCGTTATACATTAAACAGACTCCTCCGATACATGCGAACTGATAGCGCGACTTTTCATGGATGCCAAGAGACCCTCTGACCCCCTTTATTAGTTTGCGCGAGGGTTTTAAGGAGCTTTTACTCCGTGGGAGTGAAACTACGGGACGAGCTCCGTGAGATCAGAGGATTCTGGCTACTGGCCGCTGCGAATCCTCGCAGGCTCGACTGACCGACCAAGAGGAGGTCAGGCTGCGTGGAGTCTGACGAAGCCTGCCCTGTAGAGGGTATGTGGGAGCGAAATGGGAGCGGGACATGCTCCCAGGGAAGTGTTGGGGCCCATGAAATCGAACTGAGGAATCCAAGGTTTCGGAACAAAAAGATGATCAGAGTCTTGTTCGGTAGGTCCGGAACTTTATTCGGAGAGTCACTCTTCTTCAATAGCGGTTGCGCTATCGGTGCCGGTATGCCGCTGTCGGTATCCTGTCAGTCCTGCAGACGTTCCGTAGTGTTGATCAATCGGACGACGTTGTAGCGATCAGACCCTGGTTACCGTTGAGGATGACTTCTTCGCCGGATAGGAAAAGCTTGGTCGCTCCATGACAGCCAACGATGCAAGGTATTCCGAATTCGCGGGCGACGACGGCTCCTGGGAAGAGGATTCAATATCGAAGATCTCCGACGCGAAACTTCAGCCTCTTCCGTCCCTATATCCTTCACCCACCGTGAGAGATGAGGCCTCCGAGCTCTGTGACGATCCCGCTTATCAGCGGGAAATAGGGACTCCAGCCGATATCCGTGGCGTAAGTGATCAACACGTCCCCCTGTCGATGCACGAAGCGTCATGGTCATGAGTCATGAGACTCTAATCTCGCTGATTTCCGTAGCTATTATGAGAGAGGAGGCGGGAGGGACATTCTTCAGACACTGCGAACCTTCTGAATTAAGTGAGCATCTTCGAGACGAGTGATGACGCGAGCGGGCGCGATGACCAATCCTTTCGAAACAGGTGTGCCTTTCATTGAACGTGCCCCCGTCGGCGGAGTTGTGACGATTCGAGGTGAATTAGTCTGCGGCCGGCGTCAAAATCATCCTCTCAGTACATCAAAACGGAGATCCGTCGATTCTTTATGCTTTCAGACGCCGCTTTCGTCGACGTGAAACTTACGGGAACGAAAGGCGGGCAAGCTACGATCTCGGGATAGACGTCCTTAGCGGCCACCTTCGCGTTTTCCATACGATGCATGGCTCGCACGATTAATTTCGGGTTCCTAGAAAAACGAGTTCACTATTCGCGACTTTTTTTCACCTTTCCTTTCGAGCCCGAGCCAGCCATTGCTCCAGGAGCCTCGGAGTTTCATTATGGCTACCCGAATCCACCAATGACCGCACCTGGTGTCGATCAAGTCGAGTATTTCAGGGGGACTGAGGAAAAATAGCAGGTCCTCTTCGGGGAGACGCCCTTCTTCCACCATCCTTTTCGCTGCGGAAACAAAATGGGAATGATATCGAGAAACACATCATTCGAGATAGGCTGGCGGAGCATGTGAAAGTCTCACACAAATCGTCTGAGGAATAAAGATAATCACCTAGATGGCGGAACGATATTCGGAATTGATGATTGCTCTTGACCAGACATGACTTGGCTCGTTCTCGGTAGGCTATACCGTTTCTGACCCGATGCAGAATGAATTTCAAAGCCTGCCTGTAGTATAAAGACTGAAGCTTTCATCGATCCTGGGTCGAACGGCCCGCGACCGGTCGGGTCCGAAAGGTCTACTACTAACTCCCCTTGTCCACTATGTTCGATTCCAGACCTTTTGAGCCAGGGGAGTTTTATGGTCATCCTTGCAACGATTTCGTCGACTGTTAGATCTTCTCCGTGTTCTGCACGACCTGAATTCGTTGCCACCATGGACTGCAAGGTTTTCACCAGGGGAAGCGGTTCCATGCCCCAAGTTTTCGTGACCAAATCGAACTTCGAAAGAATATATCGCTTATTGGAAAAGTTCCATCGATGCATTCGGGTAGGCGTCCGATAAGATTTTTAGGGGGCTTCTGCTCAGACCGACCTCATGCAGGCATCTGTGTCCGTGTTCAACGAGGAAGTCCCGGAAGAGCCTCGCGCTCTCTGTATCTCCTTCCTCAAGCACCTTGAGCGCATCACTGGGATCCATCTCATTGAATCTGATGAAAATGAAATATTCAAACGGAATTTCTTTCCTTGTCGAATCCTGGGACTCTTGGGAGGAGAATTCCACTCAGCACCACAATTGGCCCTCAGTCAGAGTCTATCAGAAGGTCTTCTCACTTCGACCCATATTCCCGATGGAGATGGAGTGCGATTCTCTGCAAAGACTGAGGAACTCCAGCGCTGATAATGTTGTTGCAGGAAGAAACCAGAGCGGCGAAGTCGGCAAAGACATTCAAAGTCCAATCTGGAAGAGTCAACTATGTAGTACTCGAGTTTGCGACCATTCTCCATGGTTGTCATGCTGACGCAGACCGAAGGCTGGTCCGTTCGGAGGGCTCTACTGTGTCAGGAACTTACCGCCCTCCGCTTTCGCCAGGAGAGACATAAGGGCGACGTTGCTCAGGGATCCATAACAAATAGCCTGAACGTGAGTGTCTCCGGCCTGCGGAATAATGAAGCTTGGAAGATTCGAGTTTCCTCAGGTGTCTCTATTATTGTCCAGAGGATGACCAATAAGTCCTCACCTCCGAGCTTAGGTGAGGATCGCTCAATGCTGCGATATAGATTTCTCTCAGATCTGTTTTGTTCAAGGCCTTCGGCGTATACCTCGCTATCTTCTTCTCCATCAAATCCACGCTTTTCGAGGTTCGCCAGAACACGGGGATGAGGAGAGCTAGTCCAGGAGTCGGTCTGTCCTGTGAGCGATGAGCGAAAATAATGTCTCCTCCGTGGAGCCATCCTCTTCTTCCCATCGAAATACTCCGAGGAATTATCGAACATTCACTCACGGTACAGAGATATTTCTTCTTGTTGGCGCTGCTCCTCACGACGATTTCGTCGTCCATCGACCTACCACACATCGCGATGGAGAATCCTTTGGAAGAAACGTCCGCCGCCGAAAGGTCACCCATATCCTGAAGGGGAGGACAGAGTTTCCAATCACCGGAGCAGGATGGATTCTTAGCAAGACTCTACCCATCGGAGGGTTCAGACGCATCGACTACGAACCGAGAATGTTTGAAAGAATGCCTGACTGTGGTGAAACATGAAGAGCGACTGTCTCGAGAAAGCATGCTCTCCATAATCAATTCCGTTCTTCTTGGCTTTGATCCGTTCCTGGATGAATAGCGTCAGGAAGAGGGTCTGAGTCAGAGTCGATATACTCCCGCCGAAAACCTCACTGGAAGAAGCGGTGTTCCCCTTGAAATTGTTCAACGACGAGTCGCCGATTCACGAAAAATCCATTCGGTGAGTTAATGCTCCGGGATTCGATTCGCTCGAATCAATGACGTACCCGACGTTTGCCTTGGTCACAGAGTCGAACTCCCCGACGAGACCACAGTCAGCTTCGTGGAACGCTTCGAATTTAGGGTCGATATTGTCGACCGAGGTCACCGGTCTGGCCTGGAGCATATACAGCTCGCCCTTCGGTTGCCGAGAAGAATCAAATATTCGAGCTCGTCTACCATTAATCAGACTCCATTATGATGTGAGTGTCTCTTGTGAGAGACCCCGCGAGCAGAACGAGCAGAGTCTTGGCAAAGATTCGGTATCATAGCGAAGCATCATCCACGTTCACGGACTCGGTGCTCAACGATGGTACCTGATAGAAAGCCCATTCAGCGTCGCGAGGACTTGCGTACTCCTCTTCGAGGAGGATGCCGATCTTAGCCAACTGCAAAACCTGATCTTCTGTGAGAGATTGTTCCCGCGAGCGGTCCTGTCCAATGACGTCCTCGGTCCCTCCGGATCCTGCGGTGCAAGTCAGGGTTGAAAACTTTTCCATTCCTCTGATCATTCTGCAATGGTATCCATTCGCCTGATGCTCCGAACCTTTCATCACCGTGGAGAGATTTTTCTGTCCGAGCTGAATACTCTCAATCGCCAGGCTTCCGCTCGATTCTCTTCGGACCGTAAACGTATCGGGGTCTGCCGAAGCCGACACGACGCTCTGGAGGATAACGCTCGACTCAGGTGTGTCAGGCATATTGGCTCAAGTCGATAAACATATCACATGACCATATGTGTTTTACGATTGCCCCGAATTGTCTGAATCCATGCGGATTTCTCCATTGGGACTGGATTCCCTCACCTCACCCAACCCGAAATTCGCGGTAATCGAGAGCAGCAAAGGATTTGCTGTGATTGGATCAACGGTGAACATGACGCCCGAAACATCTGAGGGAACCATTTGCTGAATGACGACACACATGTCAGCGTCGATTGGCTGTCCGTAACGTCTCTTGTACTGGACGGCCACGAAGCCAAATTGACTAGCCCAACACTTGGCTACGGCCGACGCAATCGCTTCGAGGCCCACGATCCCCAGAAACGTTTCCATTTGACCTGAGAAGACAAAACGCTCAAGCGGCCGAGTGTCGTAGACATTCCGAGAGACTGTCGCTCATGGTCAAAATCGAGTGCCGGAACTCACCTGCGGCGGACATGTTTTCGGAGTCTTCTCCGCAAGCAGAGGATCGAACAGCGAATTTCGTGGTTGGGAGGTGCTCCCCGAACGTCTTTCCAAGTTCTGCGCGGATTTCCGCTAGAACCTCGTTTGGCAGCGTTCCTGCTGCCACAGCTTTCCGCGTTCTGGAGGGTAGGAGAAATTCGAAGGATGTACGGAATGAGTCGCGACTTATCCCCCACGGATTTCCCTCTCTTTGTGACTCACTCATCACAGACACGTTGCAGATCTTCATTGGAGGGCTGTGTTCCGCAGAATCTGACCAAATGTTCGATTTTCCGACGGCATTCCTGAGACCCTACGAAAGCTCTGTACGCTCTGGTGGTGACACAGACTCCTCGAGGGACGATGAACTACGGAGGAGCTCAATTAGAGTTCAGATCGAGAGCCAGCGGTTCTGATCTCTTTTCCGAATCCTCCATCCTCGTCATGCTCGCAACTCACGGATTTCTTCGTTTTGGAGATATCCGTCAGGACTGCGAGGCTACTTCCTTTGCCACCTGTGAGAGGCTCTGCCATGCAAAGGGGATCGTCGAATCGGACCACATATTTCCGCGATTCAACCTCTGCAACCCGCCCGAGGAGGGTAACGTATTCCGAGACTCTAGGTAAGTGCACGTCACACGGTATGGTCCTGGGGGAGAGAAAACGATGTAGAGCTCAGTCAGAAGAGAGAAAGAAATGAACTCGTAGTTAGTTTACGCCAGCGGATTTCCGCTCTTCGAACAAGACCCGGTCGCAGAGGCGCGCTTAGAGGGAACGAGGGGGGGGCAAGCGGGGCATGCCCCCCTCTTCTCTTCCCCCTGAAATTATTTTCCGGTCATCATTTTTTTTTAGTCCACATTAAAAGTAGACATAAATATGCTGATTTTGATGCGTTCCTCCTTTAAATATTGTTCTTGAGGTATGCTAATTGTAAGTCGATCGCTTACTCATTAGCGATCGTTATGAGAGCGTTCCCCACGTTCCCGTCGTAGTCGACCCCGACAATTTTGGCGCGGAATCTGAGCCACTCGGTGCCGAGGGGCTCGATCCAGGAAATCTCATCAAGCGTGTCTTTCACGACGAATCTCAAGTTCTTGAATTGAGCTGAAACGTGGAAAAAGAACGCAACATTCAGCTCGGACAAGATATTTCCCATAGGTAAGTCATCGGGAGGGCTGCGGGACGCCACGCCTCGGAGGGAGCGCGCATAGTTCTAGTCCTCTTCTCTTGTCGTATGAGTGGGTCGCATAGATGTGCCAAGTGTTCTACCCGCGCCGATTCGGAAGTGCTGTGCACCGATGATGGAGTCCGCAGAAAAATTCTGGACAGGCCGCTGTTGGAAGGCTGGATAGTTCAGATGACCGAAGAGCAGAGTCGGAGAGAGATGCTTGACGCTCGCCTCGTTGAGATCAAGGCCGAGCCCATTCTGAGAAGAAATGGTCGATTAGCCGATCCGATGATCACCGAGCGGGCTCATGATCTTGCATCGAACCGACCAGAAGAATCCGTCCCGAGAATCACATTATGATCTTCGATAGCGACATTTTTGTTTGGCTCTGCGTGCCACACTCAGCACCATGACGTGATTCACCTCAGTATACGCTGTGATTCGTGCTTTCAGTTCGACATCGCCGGTGTCCCGTCCAAGTCTCTGTCTCCTCCTGTACCCCCAGAGATAGACCTCATCTTCGAGTTCCTCCACGTAGATTTTCCCCGTCAGGGAGAATGTTTGCACATATATATCGAGCTTCTCCAGTGATTCGAGTTTCGCACTGAACGGGAGTTGCTTCGCGAGAAAAGCGTTGTCGTGGAAAACTCGGTAATCCCCGCAAGCAGTAATGTGGTTGCCACTAGAGAGAAGGATGAACATCGTATCGAGACAGCATAGGTTTGAATCGTCAAAACTTTCGAGGAACGCTCTTCAGGAGAGCATGATGGCGAAGACAGCGGAGAACGATTGGCAACTTTTTCCTCTGTTCCGAACGGGGTAGAAGTCGGGGCCCATGCTCAAAGACTAGGGTTGTCGACACTACTCACACGAATATCGCTCTGAGATGGGTGGCTTCGTTCTTAGCGTTATGAACCACCCCGTTGAAGGAGATCCTGTATCTTCTCATCGGCAGGGTGCTTTCGATGCGTAAACCTCCAGCGACGAAGCTGTCCGACGTACTTCGGTCAACAACGACACTTTCAGCTTTCCAGGAGCCTTTGTCCCCCAGGCGCACGAGGAAGGACATCGAAGCATATCCTAGAAATCCCCCGTTTTCATGAGATAGGTGGACCTTGGGCCTCATCGTCCATGGGGTGCGCGGAATCCGGATTGATAGAACGACAATGCGATTTGACAGAATATTCGGATTATAACTCGTCGTCCACGGTGAATCCGATTCTCTTACCGTTGCCGAGTCTCGATATCCGTGCGAACAAGAGCTGTCGTTTAGAGTTCTGGAGGAAAAACTCGATGACATCTTCGCTTTGGCCAATGTCGAGTTTGGGGTACTCGTATTCTTTCTCCGGGTTCGAAGGCAACACTCCGTACTTGAATGGGTCCTGCGAGTGCCAATCGACCAATTTGTTGAATCGATCTTCTCGCTGATTCTTAGTCGCCCACAACCAAACTCTCCATAGAAAGTACCGAATCGTATCGATCATTCTGGCGACACTTCACTGATCAAGTGGCGATCGCTCCAATGTCAAGAGATACAAGAATGAGCGGGATTGACTGTCTGTCCGCCTCTCTCAAATTGTCAACGACGAATGGAGAGGCAGTCTGTCCGCTTGATCTGCTCACCGAAACACCGAAGAATGATCGGCAACTTTTCCTGACCTTGATGGGTCCTCTCAGCCTGCGTGTAGAGCTGACCGGTGTTCCTTAGGCCTTAGGCGATATGTTCGAAGTTAAGTCGAATTCATCTATCAGACAAAGTCCAATTCTTACAGCTTCGCTGGGAGGGTGCTGCTGTGGACACAGGGGGATGAGCCGACTGAATTCTGGGGGAACCTATCTGAGAAGCAGCTAGCACAAGGAGGACAACGTGATGACTTTCCGTGGCTTCAGAAATTGCTGATCGTTTATTTTAGAGCGCGATAGCGCTTCGTCGAGACCAAGGAATCGGTGGAAAGCGCTTGGTACAAGGTTGAATGGATCTACTTATTTATTTAATAATTCATCTATTTATTTTACTTTAATAGATTACAAGTTCGAGGATGTGAATCACAAGTTTTAAGAGTATTTACGATGCATGCCGGATTTACGAGAATAATTAGCGGTCGTAAAGAGGAGGCGCGAGTTTTCATTCAGGACACTCAGCACTCAGGTCATGAATAGTGTCATCTCATAGTTTCCTCGTTGAGATTCGGAGACGTGACGGCGAGTCCGGAGATTGATAGAACCCGTGATAAGCTCCTTGTTCAAGTCCGTTTCATATCAATCACTCGCGAGACTCGGGGAACCGTGTGAACTGCCTAAATATATCTCTCGAGCACCGGCTGGCTTTGAGAGGGGCCACATTTTCATTGCTTGATCCCCATCCACACAGATAGTGTGGATATCATCGAGGGACCATCGTTGGTGTGTTGAAGCTTGGGATCGATTCATACTTTCTAGTCTGTAGGTCTCTGTGTCTTTCAAGCGCTTTCAGGTCTGTAGGAATGTACTGTACTGCGATTATATGAATGTCGGAAGAGTATCGGATTCCTCCGGCGGCGTCGCAGGTTGGCTCAATCAGAGGGCTCTGAGCGGAGAGAAGAGGTTGGGGAGCGGAGAGAAGGAAGAGGGATCGAGCTAACCCTCACTATGAAAACCGAAAAACGGAAATCTCGCCTCTACGGCGAACCCAATGGGCTGATGTCCTGAGCGAGGAGGGAAGTCTACGTATACGGAGGGCGATGAACGGGGACCTCAGCAAAGGCGTAGACCGCATCGGTCACAGAGTCGAGGCGCCGTGGCGTGGAGTCGTATCCGCCATCGGGCAGAGCATCAATGAATGATCTCGACGAGGAGTATCTTCATCACCGAGGAGCTCATTCGTAACATTTTGGTGAATCGGGTGGAAGAGCGGACAAGTGAACAATATAGGGAAGCTCCAGGGAAGATCAAGACGTGAGGTAGTGAGGAGACCAAGGTAGTGAGGTCTCGCGGTGGGTGAGACGGTCGCGAAAGAAGTGCCAGGTGCGGTGCGCATCCGGGGCCTCATCGAGGCGATCATAGATGAACGAGATTCTGGATTTGTAATTCCACATGAGTTTAATCATTCGTAAGGTCTGATCATGAATGTTTTATTATATTCCAGCAATCAAATATATTGTATCCTTATGCGTCAAGTTTGTAAATATTCATTCATTGTATCCTGATCGGCGTTTCCTCGTTTGAGCTCTATCATTCGTTCTTATTATCCCGCTCGCAGACAGGAGCGAGGAGCATACATCATACACGACACCGGTGTTGTCGCCGAAAACCCCGCTGGAGTGGCTAAGAGGAAGTCGTTGAGACTGTTCCGGCGTTCCCGTCAAGCATAATTTCTTCTCCAGATTGGAACAAATGGGTTGCCCCGTGGCAACCGACCACGCACGGTAGACCGTACTCACGGGCCACCACGGCACCTGAAAGATTTATCGAAAGACATAGTCGTGGGTCCCGAAGAAGATCTTGAAGCTTGAGTTGCATACGAGAGGACACGTTCTTTTTTGTCCGACTTTAATTTGATTGGAGGATGGAAAATGTCCTCTCATATCGCAAGTCTACCCATGAGGAATGTCTGACGATGGTTCTTCGCGCCGATGCATCAACACACCGTGAGAAATGAGACCTCCGAGCTCCGTGACCACACCACCGAGTAGGGGGAAGTAAGGACTCCATCCGATATCCGTAGCGTAAGTAATCAGAATGTCGCCCTTTGAGAGAAATCAGATTTGAGTCCATCGATCGCGGATTTGGAACACCCGTGGAGCCCCGAGCCGGCCTACACATCGTGGTAGACAAGAACCATGTGTATTTTGATTACTTTTCGAATTTCGTGCGCATCCTCAAGTCTTGCCACAACTCTGGCCGTGGCTACGATCCTCCCTTTAGATACGGGTGTGCCTTTCATCGACCGCGCACCGGTCGGAGGAATCACAAGCTCCCGAGTCATGTTAGTCTGGAAGACGATTGAACTTTTTTCGTGAGACGTAGAATCTAAAACGCAGTGGATCTGCCTATCGGGTTGAAGCCCGGAATCCAGCTGACTCACTGGAACAAACGGAGGACAGGCGATATGCTCGGGATAGATGGCTCGAGCGGCTGTGTCGGCGTTTTTCATACGATTCATGGCGCGGACGACCAAACGAGGATTCCTATCGTGTCGGGTAAGTGACGATGTATTTTTGTAAGAAGTCATGAAGTCGATGATCACTCCGTCTAAATGGCGGTAGCTTGCTCTTAGGAGCTCGCGTGGTAACCTCAAAGCCCAAACCTTGTGTCGATGAGTGTCAAGATCTCATTCGGAGAGAGATGAAACAGCAGATCTTCATCTGGTAGTCTCCCTTCTCGCACCATCCTCTTAGCTGGAATGGATTCGGAAAACAGACAGATTGACATGAGAATCGATTGAATGGAGGAACCCCTCCCGCGAGGCATCTTGAACCCTCGACTCGTACCAGCGCTCTGGTTTTGATCCTCGTCCAGGAGTTTCGGTCGCGGCTGCCAGCAGGAGACAAACTACATATAATCTAGAGCAGTTCCTCTGAATGGACACGAAGGCAAAGCTTGTACGACGATGCTCGGTCTGTATTCCCGACAGAGGTGGAATAGCTCAGCCCAGAGTCCTGGGGGATTCATTATTCCCTCTCAATGCGCCTCGGGATGGATATTGTGCAGGGACTGCTCAGGAGACCCTGATTCAGGGGCGTTTCGAGGTTCTATACTGATTGAACTCACCAACAAGTCGGAGGTTCAGTCGGAGCTTATGACCGCCGTCTATCATTCCAGACTTGGTGCGCTCACGCAGAGCGATACCCTTTCTCACATGGGACAGAATAAACTTGAGGATTTGCCTGAAATTCGGGGAAAGCTCTTGCGTCTCCAGCCAACCGTCAACTCCGTAGATTCCAATACATCAATTTATCCAAGTCCGCCTCGTGCGCCAAAAGCAGTGGAACCCCAAGTCTCACTTCTTGAACCAAGGTAGCTCGATCTTCATTCCTTCGAGTAGCTCTTCCACGGCGATTTTCGGCTTCTCCCCAGTGCTCTTTGGGTCGCTGTTAACCATAGATTGCAGTGTTTTTATCAGAGGTAGGGGATCCATGCTCCATGAGCGACTCGCAGTGTCGAACTGGAACTCAGAAATCAGTGATCAGGTTCTTGATCACTTCAGTGAGATTCTTTCCGACGTCGCTTATGGCGGAAGAATCGCCCAGGGGGGAGGGGGAAGGAAATCGAGATTTGTGCCGCTCACCTCCCGAATACTCCGGTGTCCATGGCGTAGAAGGAACTCACGGAAGAGTGCCGCGCTCTTCGTGCTTCCTTCCCGCAGTAGGCTCAGAGCTTCCTGTGGATCCATGGATACGAACCTGGAAGAACAGCTTGGGTTTTGGATTCTCCGTATCGGGAGAATAATGATCGGTCCTCATGGTCGGACCGCTTCCCAAGCGGGAACTCGAACGAAGCGAACCCTCTACGAATCGAACTAACCTTGAGCCGTAGTCGTTACTGACCGCACAAGCGATTTCGTGGAGTGACTGCGGTACCCCCGCGCTCAGAATGTTATTGCATGAAGACACTAACAGAGCGAAATCCGCGAAAACGTTCGTGGTGAAGCCTGCGGAATACGATCCGTGAGCTATCGACTCGGAGATGTGCTTTGAAGACTCTCTCTCGAACGAGCCGGATCCTTACCTCCTTCGGCGTGAGCGAGGAGCGAGAGAAGGATCACGTTCATGAAAGAGCCATATTTGATGATTTTCATGTGGGAGTCATGAGTCTGTAAGTTTTCGATCCTGCTCAATCGACCGCCTCAAGCTCATTTAGGACGAGAGGACTCATGCATGGCACACAAGTCGTTAAATTCACCTGGGACAGGAGGATAGGCTCGCTGAACGATGCGATTAGCATCTCACGCAAGTCAGATATCGTGTCTATCCTCGATTTGTATTTTGCGAGCATCGCTTCAGTATCCCGCGTAATCTTCTCCGACTTCAAGACGATCGGGACGAGCTCCGAAAAGCCCGGCTGACGAGCTCCCTGGAACGACATGACTCATAATAACAACGGCTATTTTCATCCAATCATCCGGGATGCGGTGCGGCGTCGCCCCAGCCCGAAATCAGTAGAATAATAGTAGCATTCAAGCATCCGCTAAGAAAGGCTCCCCGCATATTCCCCAACAAAATTTGCCGATCGGGTTCGCACATGCCGTAGTTTCTGCGCGAGAGATGCTTCCTCTCTACTCCTGAGGCTAAAAAATCCGCCATGAAAAGATGGACATTGAACATTGAGCTCAAAGATGGCAATGTGAGACAGCTCTGCCGCTCCTCGCTGCAGAGAATTGTAGAAATCCTCACCGGGCACCTGTACTTTGATTTGTTCCTGTTGCTCCTGATGACGATGTCGTCGTCGATGAGGCGTCCTGCTATCGATATGGCGAATCCTTTGGACATGATATCATCACCAGCAAAGTCGCCGAACGACTGGAAACATGAAATCCATGGCGAATCCGTTTCGACATTTCAATCTGATGAGGAACGCTTGATCAGACTGGGGAGTTTCCGGTGCGGATCTATTCCGAGCATACCGATGATGTAGTGAAGAAACACTGGCTGTGATGGAAGCAGAGGACTTCGAAACGTGAACAGGGATGTCGACCGTAATCTGCCCCGGCCGCTTGGGCCTGTAGTCGATCTTCGAGGAACATTGCCGGCATGATCGCTTGCAGCATCGTGGACGGGCTCCCTCCGAATACTTCCCTGCGAAAGATCGTCCTCCTCATCGAACCGTGCGAGTACTCCCGGGGGCGCAAGGCCCCGCCCAGCCATCTGATTCTTCGCCTTCTTACCCTATGTTAGCTTTCGAGAGAGAGTCGAATTCCGCGGCTAGTCCCCCGTCGCTCTCGTGGAGGTATTCGAATTCTGTGTCAATATTGTCCGTAGAGGTAACGGGTCGCGCCTGCAGCATGTACAGCTGACCCTGCAAGCGAAACCACCGCTGAATGTCATTCGTTCCGGTGACAAGAGGACCGTCGATAGGTTGCCTGCGTCTTTTCCGGGGATAAATCAAAAAAAGGCTCAAGGTCACCGGGAGGATTCACTCACTTCGTGAAAAGCCCACTCGATGTCTCTGGGACTAGCGAAGTTATCCTCGAGGAGGAGGCCGACTTCGGCGAGTCGTAAAATTTCCGCATCGCTCAGACTTTGTTCCCGCGAGCGGTCGCCTCTCTGCACGTCTTGCGTTCCCCCCGATTCTGTCGAGATCAGAGAATGTCTAATCAGGAAATGTACCTGATCCCTGTACTGATACGCTGATGTGCATCGATGCGACGCTGATGCGGATTGATATCCGTCCGTGGCATACAACCTGACAGGACGGTGGATAAGTTCTTCAGGCCGAGCTGCCTCTTGTCAATGGAAAGGAGGCCGTCACCGGCCCGTTTCACTACGAAAGTGTCAGGATCAGCCGCCGCGGAAACCACGCTCTAGTGGAGAAGACAAAAGACAACAATCTGAGAATCGAGAAGAACAAGAAGACCAGAAGAAGTTTCCTGCTCTCAGGCTCCGATCGAAGTCTCCTGCCCAAACTTACTTCTCCAAGACCGAAATTCGCGGTGATTGACATGGACAACGGATTCCCCGAGATGGGGTCGACGGTGAACATCACTCCAGACACATCAGATGGAACCATCTCTTGAATCACTACACACATGTCCGAGTCCACCGGTTGACCGTAACGGCGTTTGTACTGTACCGCGACGAAACTGAATTGGCTCGCCCAGCACTTGGCCACCGACTCTGCAACCGCATCGAGACCCGAAACGCCCAGAAATGTCTCCATTTGGCCTAGAAAGGGAAAATCAGAAAAATTAAAATCGAGTACCTATGTGATGTCTGCGATGAATCACGGGAAAGAATGATAGGCTCCAATTCCTCCCACGGGAGGCTCAATTCGAGCGAATAATATTTAGCTCACCTGCCGCGGACATGTCTTCGGAATCTTCCCCGCAGGCGGATGATCGGACTGCGAATTTCGCCGTATAGGCGTCAGAACCGAAGACTTTCTCTAAGGCGAGTCGGATCTGTTCCGACGTCTCGGAAGGCAGAGCGGCCGAGGCAACAATTTTCGTTGTCCTTGAATGTCATCATCGTATTCGAAACTTTCTCGGAGCTCATTGGTCTTTGCCTCGCCCGCTCACCGAGCGAAGAGGACTTGTATGACAGAATCCTTTGACTTTGGACTCACTTCTCGCATTCGCCACTAAGATCATCATTGCTCGGTCGGGTTCCACAGAATGAGACTAAATTCTCGATCGCTCTACTCACTCGAGATGAACTCGCGAACTTCCTGTACGCTCGAGTTGTGACACAGAGTCCACGAGGAACCGAAAACTGGAACGATACGAGATCGAAGATGAGATGACAAAAAGCGCTACGTAATGAGGGCTCTCGGAAACGGGGCTTCACGGTCTAGCGTTTCTTTCTCGTCCCTGAATTCCCAACAGAACAAACCTTCGTAGCATTTTCGCGGGATATGTCGGTCAGCACAGCGAGACTGCTCCCTTTGCCACCTGTGAGAGCTTCGTTCTGGCAGACTTGTTCCGTGAATAGGAGTACGTGTCTTTGCGAGCTCTTCGCCTCCGGAGCACCGAGCAGTCGGACATAGGGTCTTACGATCGGAACCTCGAGGCTGATGGCGGTCGAGCTGCGAAGATGGACGACCTTACGTATTCATTCTGGATTGCTGGCTTAGTTCGGGAGTGAACTGCATGGTTCCCTCAGGATGCTCTTTTCCATTCCTCCACTCACCCCTCCTTAGAGACCGAGAGACCGTATCCGGGGTTCCCATCATAGGTGAGCCTGACAATTTGGAAAGTTTGTCTGCAAGAGGAGAACAGATCCTTTCACTGCACCTTCGCACAATGAGGAAATGCTGATCGGTGTTTCAGAGCCACATCTTCGACAAGCGCGGCGACGGAAAACTTCGTTACCTCATCCATTGACTCCCTCGCAGCTCGGACCAAGCCGCGCAGTCTATTTGTGTCTTGATGCTCAGGCGAAGATTCTGGTGTTTGTCTGAATGGGATTGGATTCCGATTTTCAGAAGGGTTCACGGATTATAGCCGGTAGAGTGAGGGAGCGGGCCTTACCTGCGCCAACCTCGAGATCGCTTGCACCGGTCAAAGAACTCACGGAGCAAGATTCCACAGGACGCTGTTGGTAAGTAGGGAAAGCGAGATGGCCGAAGATGAGCGGCTTCGTGCTCAGGTTGTCCACACGAACTTCATTCAGATCTAAGCCGAGACCGTTCTGCGAAAAGCTCCTCCAGATTGATAATAGTAGTTCATGGAGCATCGACAGGATTCTCCGCATCTCCTTTCTTTTTCTTCCATTACCGGGTTCGTTCAGCTCACCTTCGTGTAGAGCGTGATGCGGGCTTCTTGTTGCACTTCTGAAACTTCTTTGCTGAGCATCTGCTTGCGACGATATCCCCAAACGAAAACTTCTTCTTCGATATCATTGACGAACACTTTGCCAGTGAGTGAGAATGGTTGCACGTAGATATCGAGTTCCCGCAACGAGTTGGGGTTCGCTCTGAAGCTACTCTCTGCCAACTGTTTGGCGAGGAATTTCTCGTCATGGAAAACCTTGTAGTCGCCCAAACCCGAGATGAAATTCCCGCTGGAAGAGCAGAATGGAAATTCGGGATGAAGCCGGCGTGGGATCAGCCTCGGGGTGGGATCGGGCTGGAGAAATTAGAGTTCTCATGGGGTCACATATCTATCGACCGAACGAGTTTCATGATTGCATTTCGCTCAGGAAATCGGGACACTCGTGTCTTTGAGGCTCGACAGAGGGGGTGAACTCACACAAAGACAGCTCGGAGGTGGCATTCATTATCGTCGTCGTCTCGTACAACTCCATTGAAAGATACTCTCCACCTCTGTTTCAATTGTATGATCTCGATTCGCAGCCCCGCGGCAGCGTAGCCATCGGACCAGCTTCTATCGACGGATACACTGTCCGATTTCCAAGAGCCCTTATTGCCGAGTCGAATGTAGAACGACATCGAAGCGAGCCCTGTACGAAAGGAATTCCAGCATCACTTCGTGGCCCGAATGAGCCTGGAGTCTCTCCCTAGGACGGTCTCCTGGCCTATAGGTGTCTGAACAACCCACCGTTCCCAAGACGGGAAATCCTGGCGAAGAGGATCTGCTCCTTGCTATTCTGAGCGAAAATGTCGATCACGTCTTCCGTGTGCTTAAGTCGAAGTTTCGGTTGTTCGATCTCTGCTTCATCAGGCCCGCAGAGCAGGCCATATTCAAACGGGTCGTTAGAGGTCCAGTTGGCGAACTTCACGAAACGATCGACTCGACGTCTGCGGGTCGCCCAGAGCCAGATTCGCAAGATCACGTACGCAAGGAACGTAAAGAACATTTTTCATGCGTTGGAAGTGGAGCTTGCGAAGAAGGTCCGACGGCTTTGAAATCTCTTAAGAACACTTTTTCCCGGCGTGAGGAGAAGACTCCCGCTCTCCCCCGACTGTTTGACCTTGGCGACGGATGCGTCTTTTTTTTTCATGCTCAAGGTCGAGCCTCTCTGGTTTTCAGCTCCTCGGACGGAGACGGAAGGCCCTAATGATGGAATTGCTTCGTTTGCAGAGTCATCTCGTCTCCGATACGCTATGATTCGCGATCAACGAGAGGAGGAAGGAAAATACTATCTGAATATCAGCACTAATGTTCAGCGAACGACGAGCTGAATCGATCGAGAAAATAAATCCATTTCCCGTTCTCTTCCTGTTGTTCGTTGGAAAGAATTACCGTCCACATCGCGTCGCCCGGACTTGAGGGCACCACAATCTCTGGGCGAATGCACAGAGCAGCTCCTTTGTCTAGTCACGCTCAGCAAAGGTTCGGGCACTCGGCCTGTGGTTTTGATCCAGATTTATGATCCAAGCTGAGAGGTTGTATAACGGGGTTGTCATTCGAAGTTCTTATCATCATGGTAGCTGTCATCGCGTGGTCGTAAATCAAGGTTTTCTCTCCCGGAAGCATGGGGCTCTTTCACTTCCGCGACCTGTTTTCTCCCTCAGAATTCCCCCGCGTTAATTCTGAATTGATCTAGTTCTGCCAGCGAGAGGAGCATATCTGTAGCGAGATCATTCCCGATTGAGTAACTTCTCAGGCATCGATTGCCTTCTCGGAGTCTCTGGGACTGCGTTTGAGGCGGTGATTCCCACTCTGCGAGAGACGCTTCGCATGGGCTGGGTAGGGGACTGAATCAAGATTCCCCCGTCTGATTCAGGCTTCCCAGGCTACGCAAGAGACTCTTCGACAACGAATTGTTCTCCCGTCCGCATGAAATATCGTCCCCCGTCGTTCTGGCGTTTGGCTGTCAGCGAATTCGAGTCATATCTGAGGCTTAGTCGATGGGATATCACGCCTTGAATGCCTATCCGCCTTTCTCAGTATCCATAGGCGAGTTCGCCTCCTTCCGATTTCGGGCCTTGGATTTTTTTGTGGCTTCCGAGAGGCCGAATTCTGGCGTTCTACGAAGAGTATTGGTTCACGATCCAGAACCCTACCAAACCACCACCCTGTACATTAGAATTATTCAAACCCTCTGGCCATGGGTACAGGATGAGCCTTCCCCAGAGGCTTTTTGAACGGCATTCTTGATCAGAGCAGCATATCCCCGGGTATATCTTGCTCCTCCGCCTCCTGTGGGAATCAAGGCATCGACCTGCGGCATTGAATTTCGCTCCATCTCCTGGATTGTCCCCAGCGAACGATCTTTCACGAATCGGACTGCTTCTGTCATTTCCCGAAAATGAAAGCCCGATGTGAGACTTTGCCCCCAGGTAATCTTGGCTTTTCGCGAGCTGACACTGCTATTTCGGTGCCTGTGATGCCTCTCGTTTATGGCATCCCCAAGCCGTTCGGGGCCGTTGCGTCTGCTCCTTCTGAGATATTTTACTGCCTGAACGGCCTAGCTCTCTGGTTGTATCAGTCCGCGATCCATGCGAAGACGATAGAGATCTTTGGTCCACCGCGATCATTCTCGACGCCGGAGGGTCGTCGAAGGAATCTCGTTCCTAGGAGCATTCTGTTGGCATGTCACTCGCGGTCCGAAGTCCATTTGGAAGATTCGTCCCGCGAACAGGTAGGGAACTCAGTCTGGTTATTTCCTCACCGATTTTATTTCCACCGAAGCCTCGAGTGAGGCAGGTTTGGACATGATATGATATTCGTGATCTCAGCCTATCAGACGTTGTATACGATCCTAAGTGATATGATTATTGTACATCCTCTCCGCTGCGCGATTCGCTCCTCTTGGGATCCCCTGCCGCGTAGAGGGGCGGTGCAATCGGATCAGTTTGGCACGTGGAACCTTACTCCGTCGGTCCGCTAGCGGAGAGATTCATTCCAGTGACGTATTCATAGAGCTCGTGTTCAACGAACTCGTCAGAAGGCTTCGACTGATCCTGGGGAAGGAGAGGAGCCGATCAGTTTCATTCTCAATCTGAGATAGGGAAATGGGAGCTTACCGTTGATTCTCTAGCTGGAGCCTTTCGTCGATATTTCTACATACTTGATCTTGTTCCGGAACGCCTGAGTGGTTGACATTTTCAACGAGTGGTGCTGTTCCGAGTAGAACAGGTTGAAATCAAAGTTCATCCAAAGGAATTGAACCATCTTGTCGTCCTCGTGCTCACTCAGGATACGCAGGAATTCTAGCATGCTCGTCTGGAAACGAACTTCTCCGTCAGGAAAATTCCCTGATTTTTGATCTCATAATTATTCGGGAGTTCGATTCTACGGAGTCTTGCTCACCCTGTAACGCTTGATTCGTGCATCGCATTTCGCGAACACATTCAGAAGGGTTCTTGTCGAGGCTGCGGTCTTGCTCGGAGATTCGATGCCATCGATGAGCAGACGGGTCAACGAGTGTATCTCATCCATCTCCACGAACAATATCCTGCGGAAGAATGAACTCGAATCACGAGGAGTCCGAATCTGATATGAATCAGATTGGCTGGTCGGATTGAGACGGCCAGAGATATGGAGCCCCCTACCTGAGATGCGTTCCAGCGAGATCGTCGCCTTCAAGAAAGACTCCTCTGAGAAGATTCTCCACGAATTCGATGTGCGCGTTACTGAGATCATCCACAGAGGTCATGGCATCGATCCTGTGCTCCAACTCCACCCAAGCTGTGGTGACAACCTTGAACAGGGGACGTCGATCAAAGTCTGTTCTTCACTATCTAGGCTGATATTCGGAAACAAACCGATGGGTGACCGCTCTGCCCCGGCAATCTCTGGACAGAGCGAAGATATTTTAGGCCAAAGGATAGAGAATCACTCTGCGAAGATGAAGCAACTCACGTGAGAGAAAAGATATGATTCTAGATTGAAAACAAAGTTCATGATCTCGTGGAGGAAGAGACGACTCTGAGCTAATACACCTGCGATTTCAGGGGTTTTCGCTCTCAACCTGGAAAGAAAGTCGCAGAGTTCAGCACGGTCTGCTTCCGAGCTCCGACATCTCATGTACATATACGCCATTGATCGGAGGATATCGAGATCGATGCGACTTACATTTGGAGTTCCGCGCTCAGCTCAGTGAACAAGTAGGAAAACTTCCTCACTCTGAAGAGATGTGCGAAAATGCGATGATACAAAGCGAAGGAATCATTTCGGAAAACCTGTCGAATCGGTCAAGACTCAAATTAAAAGGCTAGTCTCTGGACCCGCTGTCGCGGGGCTTTTGAATCTTCGCCGCAGATCGATGGATCGAGGAAAACTCACGAATGACAATGGCTCCTGGAGCTTGTAACTCAGGCCGAATCCTTCCATCAAGGGAGCGTCCTCTCCACCCGCGTTGAAGTTCACACTGATCAGCGACGCTGCTTCGAGCTCCGGGAATTCCGGCAGGAGCCTATAGATCATCCTGGTGATCTCCGAGCGTTCCACTTGGCTCCTCGTGCTATCGGCGAATTCTCCGCTACTGGGGACGTGAGAAGAAGTCAGCGATGCCGCAAGGGAAAAATGTCAGGGGCAATCATCCAGCTCTCAGACGGCTCGACCATCTCGTGAGCCTGGCAACTGACCTCAGGTTGCTCAGAAGTCCTTTACTGAAGACACCGTCATATAAGAGCACGACATCACGAATCAGCTGTAAATCGCCAGAGCGTACGGTTGTAGGGTATATCGTTCCGAAGTTTTTTTTCCATTCAAATCATCGCTCGATTCGAGATGTATCGGCGCATGCTCGATAGAGTATCTAAAATAGTAGTTTCAAGTTGTTCCCTCACCGATAAGTGGGTTTTGAGGTGGAAGTTATCCAGAATCACAGTTTTCATCCGGTCCATCGTCAGGCTGTAAGCGGACCTCAGGAAGTCCTTCTGACAGGCTTCATCAGTGAAAATCGTTTTGAGTCGAGACTGGACATCCGACACGTTGTGCACGTCGTCAGCCTCTTTCAAGAAAACCATGGCTTTGCCCACCGAGAGGATCTGTAAGGGAGGAGGAGGTCCGTCGATCAGTTCCCGAGACCTGAATAAGCTCTTCCCCAGAAGCATCGAACTCGTATTGATCGGAATCGAGTGGATGGAAAGACACGCTCCGGAAACGCTTGCCTCACCTTACGGGTGTCTTCGGTGTTGAGGTAGGCGGGAACGTATTCTTTCTTGATGGCGAATTTCTCGTACCAGAGATTCGACACTCCTTCCCGACCGACATTGTGAATGAAGAAATCCCAGTGGGTATTCGACAGATCGCCTCGTAGCATCCAAGAGTGGAGCATTTCCAGCCAGGGTCGGAGCACACGTTCCAACAGCCCGTTCACCAATTTGTAGTAGTCGCTGTTCGTCGGCGAGCAGGCAGCTTGTTCGTACAGAACATCGAGCACCTCGTTACCATTGATTACTCTGACGTTTTCGATGAAAGGCGCGCAGACAGCAGCCAATCGGTGCATCAAATTGTCCGGCTGGAGACAGAGGTATTCCAACCGAGCGAGACTCAGCTGGCCGGCGTTCGCCATTTGTTCCAACAACGCGACCAACCTTGGGAAGCGGATGAGAAAAGCGTTACGTCGAATGAAAACACGGTCGCGACCCAACAATTATTCTGATCATGATTCAAATCAACGGGATTCCCACGTCGTTTTCGGAGCGACTGCCTCGTGGGTCCCGGATATTCCCGGTAGCACTCACTGCTTGTGCCGTAAGAGTTGCTGCTCGACAGCCTCGGCTAGTCTCTGCACGACCAGTGATTTGGATTTGGCGGCGAGCTGGGTGAAGTTCGACAACCTGACGAAGTGCTCAGCGACTTCCCCAGCCATCGCGATCCTATAACCCAATTGAGTACTGACGATGCCGACTATGGTGAACGATAATCGTCCCTCGTCGACCTTGATGGAGATCAGATCCGATCTTAGACCGACAAGGAAATTCAGAAGACTCTTGAGAATCTTCTTGTCAAGCTGCTCATCTCCTGCGTCGATCGTAGGCGGACATGGCGTCGACAGGGGCCGACTATTAGAGCGGCCAGCTGTAACGAGATAGTTTTTTATTGATTCGTCGCGTATTCATCGGTCTTCCAGAAATTCGAACGCCCAAACCCGGTTCGAGAGGACGGAACGCGAACCTTTCTGTCGACGGAATATCTGGATGAGTCTATCGTTCTGAGCCGGCTGAGGTAAGCTGTTGTGATTCGTGTCGTCGATCCCCGACGTCAGAGTGAGCAAAAACGAATGCAGAGCCGTGCGATTCGAGATATAATCTCCTTTCGCGTGGCATTTCAGAGCCAGTTGACTACTGAGCTTCAGGAACCTATCCGCGGCATCCTGTCCCTGAGTGCGAATCACTGAAAGGAATTGCTATGCTAAGGATTTCCGTCGGCGAGATAGTAGTCTCGAACTTCAGAATACAGGGGCTTCGGAGAGAGAACACTCACAATGCTCTCTGATCCTCTCTGTATACACATGTTCGTTCTGGATAGACTCATCGAACCCGGTCGCCTTCCTGCGAAGCAAAAAAAACGCACGACTGTAACTCATTGGTGGAGGTTTCTGACACTTCCATTGTCTTTAGAATCGATGGATGCATCCATTCTCACAGACAATGAGCTTGCCGCTAACCCACCTTGTCTTGAGAATGCCTATTGCTTTCTGGAAGCGTTTGCTCGCCGTATCTGTGGAAAATAGTCGAATATATTGGAAAAAGGCTGACGGCTGATCAGTTATCGCAAAATAGAGAAATGTCTTCCACTATCTTGAGCAGCTCTTCTCCTGATCCCTCCATCGTGACCTCGGGACGAAAGTCGCCTCCCGAAATAAAATGAACTTCTTTCCCCCTGCCAGCCATCTGACAGCGCTAGCGCGAGAATCCAACTGACAAGCCAAAAGCAAGAACAGTCATAACGGTTTTTCAAACCGAGTGGTTGAAGCTTAGCCAACTTTCTCGTTTGCGTCGGGAATACTTCTTTCCGGAGACTCTGTGGTCGATCGGGATGACATCTTGCCACAGAGCCTCTCCATCCCACAGGGGTCCGATTAACTGATAGCACTGGCTCGCAATATACGATGAGCGCCTTGACGCTGGTTAGCATAGGTACATCAGACTCAACTAACCTTGATCCGGACTAAGGTGGGCACACAGTCTTTTTAGGAACTCCTGCGTATTGGAATCCCTCTGAGAGGTAGTCATCCTGTTGCCAGAGTCGCTGAGACTATCAGACGATCCGAGGCTCCCGGTTGCATCCTCTGAGACTGGTGAGACCATCGGCTCATCATTCAACTGATCCCGCGCGCTTCCGCTGCTGTAAAATTTCCGAAGACTTCGCTCACCACCCTGGCGCGCGCTCTTGGCTGACATTACCCCGGAGTCCAATCTGAGGATGGGTCGGAGGAATCCGCTTTGTAAACATTTCTCGATCGAACGTTTGAGTGCTTATCACACGTTCGACGGAATACATCCTCGATGTTACAGGTGCACGTTCAGCTCACGCTTGTACGCGTGCTTGGTCGATGCTCCAGTGCTCATTGGGAGGACAAGGCGCTCAGAGTCTTCCAACGATGGGATGATGCGGAACCCAATGACTTGAATGAGGAGGTACTAAGAACTCACTACGCCAATGATACGAGTCATTATTGCGCTTTTTTAGGGTGCGCGAACGATGTCTCAGGTGCCAGGCAAGGATCATCGACATCATCTCGCTCACCCCTCTCTCTCAACACTCAGCACTGTGAGAGAGCTGTGAGGGGCCTCACAGCGAATTCAAAATTTCCGCCTGACAATGTTTGTCAACAACGGAGGCTTTCTCGCAGGAGGAGAGTGACACCGCAGGAAGCGGCACTTCTTATATATGGACTGGGAGTAGAAGCATTCTACGCAGCGCTTTCCGGGGAACTTGTGCCGTTGTATCCCGTATCTTAAGTCAGTTATCCGTCCAGGACGTCACCTGGAGATGGAAGACGCGGAACTCGCTCGTATTCGAGCCGAAAGGATGGCTCAGCTCCAAACAGCAAACGCACGAGACGGCGGGGAAGACACCTCCAGAGAGGAGCAGGCAGAGGAATATCGGAACAGAGCGGAGCAAATGAAAAATCAAGCTCTACAACAGGTTGGTTCTTGCATGGACTCTGCGATGCATGATTCTCATTCCCATAATTTGGCTCACTATTCGAGTCGAGAAGGGGATCTTGGATCACGACCCTTTGATTCTTCGTTCAGATATTGACTCAGGAAGCACGAGCCCGTCTTGCCATGATTGAAATGACGAAGCCCGAGTTGGCCGAGCTCGCGATCCAGTCCGTTCTACGAATGACAGGCGGTGGCCGGAGTGCGGTCAAAATTTCTGATGAGGTGAGTCCCATGCGCAATCGTGATCCCCAGTCGAGAGTCATGAGCTATCAATGAGGCGCCGGCTATGCCGTGCTCCGTATGCTCACAGCTCTGTGGAGGAAATTCAATCACAGCGTACGCATTCTCAGGATTTGCGCGGAATTCTGGAACGGCTCTCTTCAAGCACGCAAAAGAAAGAAACGAAAGTAACTTTCAACAGACGGAGGGCTGGTTTGGACTCGGACGACGAAGATTGGTGATATCATCTGTATAATAATATTGATATTGATACGCAATAATAAATGGAGCTGTCTCCGTAGATCGTCTTTTCTTCCTCGGGGCGATTCAGTGGGAGCTTGCCATGCGTTGGCTCGAAGCCCGATCCGCTCATTTCCCATCGCTGCGATAAACGAGAGTTCCGAGTATCAGTGGAGCATGAGATCATGGAGCCTGCGAAAGCGTGAGTATTGCCCGCATATTGTCGGACGCTCCCGCGGAGCCGCATCTTTCCGAAGGAGATTCGGAGAGTCGGCGAAAATGTGGGAAGCCCCAAGCCATTTTGGGTCGGAAATTTGATTGGTTGTCTATGGAATCATGTTCCTGAGGGGAGTCAGCGGGAAGAGCGAAAGAAACCCCTCGGTAGTTCGCGGACAACAAACAATTTATTGCATTCCCTAGAATCTGTATAGCAACACTGTACACAATAGAAACAGCAACAGACTAACTTCACCTGTTGGATGAACAATTTTATAGTTTTCCAATGCCTCGACACTACTTTGGGAGGAGAAAGAACTGTTCTCGTTGCTTATCACCTTGCCATGCGCGCCAACCTGAGGCGCAACTCGCAGGACAGATATCCGACACTCCACCGTTCATAAATTATGAATAAATTAAGCATGAATCCCAAGAAGGGGGTTCACTTCATCACAAACGCTTCTTACCAGCTCGAAGGTATCCGAGCTCATCCGACACGCTTTGGGGAGTTTTGGCTGGGAGTATTCCTCTTGTGTTCGATCAGGAACACGGAGAAGAGGATAACGGCGATGCTCATCACGTACCAGGAACTCGGGTTGAAATGCTTCGGAAACAGAAACTTGTTGAAACCTGCGGTAACAATGTAGGTGACAGCCGACACTTGGAAGCGCACGATGTTATCCAGTTTTTTCATCACGAAAGAAACGCAGATTCCATTGAAGGCCGTCAAGACTACCGTCAGAAGCACCAATGCCGTCAAGACCTCCGGAGTCTTCCGATAGTCGAAAGCTGTAAAAGGTGAACTTCCGATACTTCCTCCATTCTTGTAGCCGATTGAGAAGGAAATCTCTAGATTGACAGATTGGCAGTTTCCTCACCTTTGCGCTCGAAGACGAATCGAGATACAAGCGCCGGCAACAGTGAGATCAAGGCAGAACCGCAGTACAGGTGAGTCTGGTTTCGCCACATGCCTGCGTCGCCTCCTCTCTTGAGAACGACTTCGGTGAAAACTCCAGCGGTCGCACTGAATAACGAATTCAGCACCGCAACGCCGAGCACAGGGCCTAGGATCGTACTGAAATCAGCACCCACGTCGATTTGCGCTAGACCGACCCCAGCGATCAGTGTCAAGCCTCCGATGTACTGAGTTGCGGTGATCCGCTGTTTCAGGAAGATCCGGTATATCAGGAGCAGGATGACGACTCGCATCTGACACAATACGAGCCATGTCGCGGGAGTGATGTAATGTAGCGCCAGGAAGAACAAGTTGTTGGTGAACGCGTAGAGGAGACAGGGCAACGCTATTCTTGCATCGAGGTGTTTGAAAGGATTATCCCCGTCGAAGAACAGGTGTAATCCGATCACTAACGTAGCTTTGAACAGCTCGTTGACCGTGACGACTATCGTGGTGTCGACGGGGTAAACGCCATCGTTGAAGTGTCTCATCGAGTAGGAGACGCACGTCCTCCCGACATCGGTTGCGATCAGGAGGATGCATAGTATCACGGAAGTCGCACTCAAGAGGGGCACTTCCCGTGAGAGCGGTTCCTGGTCGCTATCAATTGAGTTTATGGCTTCTACGGAATCTTTGCTTTCGATTCCGAACCCCGACGATATCATGGCCTGGTGGGTCTCGCTCTCCCTGTCGAAGAGACAACATGAGCTATGAATGAACCTCCGATCGATAGGAGTATGGATCTCGATCAAGGCTCTAAGTGCGACATTCCATGTTCACTTTTCCAATAATTTTTGGCCGTCTCAGGGAATCATCGGATATCGACCCTCGCTGCCTCGGGAGAGCCTCACGAGGATTTTCGTTTTCGGTCACTTTCTCGAGAGGAAGAAGTCGATTACTTAAAGCGGAAATCCGATTCTGAACAAAATCCCAGGGACGGCTCTCCCAGTGTGACGAAGGGGTCGCTGACGCATTCGGTCTCCATCGGGGTCCCGAAGCCCTGACCGATCAAGGAGTGGGCAGCTCTCTCGAGATGAGTCTTTCGTGTCACACGATTTTCAGTCACACGCGAACTTTTGAGTGGAGGCTGCGTCGGCCACGATGACCATCCGAGCCAGTCAGCGTGGAAAAACCCAAAAGAATACTGTAGATCGAAGAGGGCTCTGTCATCGGGGTAACCTAGTGACCTCGAGAAGATATCTCAAAAAAAACAATTCGATGAGGGACAGGGAAGGAAATGAAGCGACGTTGACTGTCGGAATTCGTCGCGGGGCTCCGTCCAGGTCGCCTCGATAGCGGGAAGGAACATGCATGCTCTTACGTACCCTCCATCAGCGCGCACGGTGGGACTCGAACAGCTGATAGAGGTGTTCTCTCCGTGTCTGTTGCCTCAGGACAGAAGAGCGCGAGTTTGCCGAGGTAACCGAAAGATGGCGCTTCGGGCCCCGTCGATGGCAGCTCGCCCACTGAAACATTGGGCTTTTCTCGTCTCGGCGCTTCAGATGGTTCTGGGCTCCGTCGCTGCTCTGATGTCAAAATGGCGGCCCACACCTTTCGAAGAACAAGTGCCGGACAATGAGAACAACGGCTCCAGAGCGTACAGGGCCCTGGATGCCGCCGGAATTTTGACGATGACGCGTTGCTTTCGATATTCTCACATTGGTCACCGATCGCCACAATTCGTTAAGCGGCCCAACAGGCCCTCTCATCCCGAAAATTGCTGCTGCCGCCACAACTGCCGTCGCCGCCGTCGCCATCCCGGATATCTGTGATCGAGCAGTCCAGCGTGGAGATGGTGTTCGGTAGATGCCCGTGTTTCAAGGGCGAGACCGAGGATATCCAAGCACTGGACTACTCGCACTGCACTTTGGATGAAGTTCCCAATGAGGTGAGGGGCCCTCACCGTTCCACTGCTGCTCTTCGTGCGGCTCATCCGTCTGCACTGTCAGAGCGGAGAGCAGAATGGGCGGGCTCCTATCTGGGGCATCAATCAGCTGTTCCGAGAGTCTTAGCGCTTAACGCCAAGGAGTTCTTGACCCATGTCGCCAGCGTACGAGCCATGCTCAAGCCAAACCAGCGATCGGTGATCACTGAGAGCTCAGCTGTTCCTTTCTCAATCTCTCTCTCGTCGACGAGGCGTTCGGTTGAATCCGGGGAGATTTCTTATTATCCTTCTTTCTTTTTATAGATTTTCAACTATGAGCGTACTCTGCAGGAGCTTTGCCTAGACGCTAACCAGCTTGGTGAGTTGCCCAGGCAGCTCTTCTACTGTCACGCATTGCGGCGTCTCACCTTCCAGGATAATGACGTACAACATCTGCCTGCCGCGATATCATCGCTCACCCAGCTCACTCATCTAGATCTAAGTCGGAACAACATCTCTGAAATTCCCGAATCAATTCGCGGATGTGAGTATTGGCGACACTTAGATACCGATAGCGAATAATCCATTCTATAAGCGTGCAGTCCCGTGTCGTCGAGACAATTGCAAGCACTCCGGACCTTCCGCGCGATGAGCGAGTCATCCGCAATGCAGACCCGCAACACTCTGGTGTGCAAAGTCTTCGCTGAGAACACGAGCAGCGCATTGGATTCTCATGGGTTGAGGGCCACGAATAGTCAGGATACAATGTAAACATCGTTAGGTAGACCTAAAGTGTACCGGACCGGCTTCCGGATGACTGTTTGTGCATGAGCGCGAGCAAAAGGTCAAAAGCTCACCTAAGCGGCTTCTCCCGAGGCTCTGAATTCTTCTTCAATCGAGAAAGAGTTGAAGACTCTCAATCGAGGAGAGCTTCAACGTCTGAGACCGGTAGAGAGGTTGCGAAAAATCCTCGTCTGGGGCCGCCAATTTACGCTGATCGAACACGTTCTCGGTTCAAACCGAATCGGAGGGGGGAAATTCGCTGTCGAGGTCAGCCGTGCGACTGAGTTTTGTGCTCTCCCCCGCTTGGTTCCCAATGTGGGAACCGGCATCCTCGGTTTTCACTTGGCCTCGGGGGCCGTGATGGAAAGTGGTACTCATAACACAATAAATGCGCTCATTTCATTTCAATGCTCGCGGCTCGAAGTTCTTGCTTCGGCGGTGATGATTGTATCAGCCTCTTGATTCGGAAAACTTTTTCGTCGGCGTTGAATGATCGTTGCGTCGAACTAAAGAAAAGACGAGAGGATTCTCTTCTGCGTTCCAATGGAGCGAAATGCCGAAGGGGTGCGAGAGCCATGAAAAACCTAGAGCAGCGAAGCGAGAGGAAAAACTCGACAGATTCTCGGATTCGGATGGACAGGGGCAATAAAAGAGCGCTGCGATTGTATTCCGAGCGAGGGCTCCGAGGGGATGCAATAAATAAAAACCCTTGGAACACCGTGTGTATTGCAGCTTGTGGGCGATTTTGTCGGAGAGAGCATTTTATTTTTTCTTCAGACGAAACGGAGCGGTCGAATGAACTCTAGAGAGACACAGCGTTGAGAATTTATTTTCCCGCTTCAGGTAAACTTCTTTCGTCGGTGGACGCATCGGTGAACCCGATATCGAAGCTGCCCGAGAGCTTCACGCAGCTCGTGAGCCTCGAAGAGTTGTATCTCAATGACACTCTGCTTGAGTTTCTCCCGGCAAATCTCGGACGTCTCAGCAAGCTGCGTATCCTAGAGTTGCGAGAGAACCACTTGAAAGCGCTCCCAAAGTCCATGGCAAGGCTGACTCAGTTGGTCAGGCTGGACATAGGACAGAACGATTTCGTAGATATGGTGAGTAGGAGTTGGGAACGAACGAGAATTGGGTGGAGCCCTCGACCACGCAACCATCGGGATTCTCAACCACGACAGTAAACGCCAAAAAAACATCTTCCCCGACGGCTTCGCCTGTGTCGATGCGCTCCAATGATCTCGATCATGCAAATATGAGTCTCATTCGGGATAGGAGAGCGCAACGTATCAGAGGTCCGCCAAGTCTGCGGCCGAGCCGCGTCGATGGTGGGACCGAGAAAAAAAACCATCATAAAAATAACAATACTCTGATAGTCACATGAGAGACCGCTATGCTGCTCGCTTGCATCTGCGCAGCGTCAGTCTCGTTACGGGCGTTAATTTAAGGGGGGACAGCAACAGCGAGCCAGCCAGCCAGCCATGAGCTGGCTATGCAGTCGGCTGTCCGGCCAGCCCTTCGAGTCGGGAGTTGTTGAAGGATATTTTTAGCAGGAGCCGCCCAGGGCAACTGGGCCATGGGACTTCAATTCCCAGACGAAGCAGCAGAGGGAAGGACACGTCGGATCCAATTTTCTGCCAAGTTCATGCCGTCAAATGAAGTTCCGAGTCATTCACCGACTGCTTCGTTTACAGCATAATTCAGCCCGATGAAACGCCTCTGTGTGACGGCGGAGAACTTCCCCGATATATTCTGTAGATGGGGAATCGCGGGTACTTCGATCTTCCCGGTGTCGAGAGGAACGCGCGAGGGCTTCAGATTTGTTCCCCCGAGAAATCGATTAGCTGTTCTCCCGACATCGAATGTGGAGTAGTCGAGGTTCGATATCTTCTGCCTCCGGCTTTCGGGAAATCTGCCTAGCCATGCTGTCTGACCCCGAATGGTATTTCACGACGCCTCTTGGACTCGGCGGGATGCTCCCCAGAGATAGGAGTGGGATCGCATGCGAAGAACCCATCCATCCGATGATAATTAAGTAAATCTTCGGCAGTAGGATATCAAAGTTCCCAGAGGTTGTCGTTATGGAGATCCTGAGTCGAGATTGGTAGAAGTGCAGAGGAGAGAAAAGATACCGCCTGCCACGAATATCCTCTCGAATAGGCGCGAAAGATTTTTGAAACTGATTAGAACTGATATTCAGCCTCCAAGCGTCCGTCGAGGTCAATCGCGGATTCCGAGAATCATTTCGATGCGTGAGTCCACAGCGAGACGAGATGCTCTGGCCGAAGTTTCGCTCGACATTTTCTCCAGCGATCGGCAGGAGATCTTCGCCCCAACCATGGCTACGGGAACTACAAATATCAATTCCTGGTTGGTCGACCCTTTTGATGGAAATCACTATGGATTCCTTAGCCTATGGAAAAACTCAACGGTGCATTTCCGTGACACAAAGAGCTTGACGGGATTTGACGAGCCTCTACATCAACACAACCGAGATTTACAACACGGATGGAGCAGCTCCGACCCACTACAGTCCTTGGATTCGAAATTCCCACAAGCTCAACTCGGTCCTTCGGATGCGCGGAGGGGAGTGGGGATGCGCGACATGAGAAGACTCCATAAGGCAAGAAAAGTCCTTCTCCCCGCGCGGTTCTGATCGAAGCGTAAGCACGCTCCAACGCAGCTCGGTTTTCAAGTTGGAAGCAGCCGCAACTCACCAGTCAGGTTTCGCTGGTTCGGTTCCGGCATCGGGAACTTCCATTTTGCCCGCTTGGGCCTTCGAGCATAGCTAGGATATCGCCAGAAAGACACGAGTGTCGTAGTGTATCCGTACATGTATCCGGGGAACACTTCGGAAGTCGATGCTATATGAATCGCTCTCCTGACAAGCGAGAGGGTTATTCGTAGCACAATACTCTGTGTTTGAAAGCGATACGCATCGGTCGCCAGAGCGTCGAGATGAAGCATTAATTGCGAGAAATTTCGCATTGCACCGCCGAGAGATCCAGCCGCTCGAAAATTGGATCCCGCGCGGGGGAATCGGAAGCATTATTTTCAAACGATTCCTCTGCCGCATACTCGAGCTATGTCGCCGCCGACATCCGATGCGAATTCCATTCTTCGAGCGGAATTCTCCTTCCTCTCCAGACGCATCGAAGCCTCTTACGGCGCGGCATGATGCATAATAATCAATCCGGAAAACACCGAATTTCCTCGAAGACTTCCCTGAACCGATCCCGGGTGGAAACTTCTATCGATGAGCTCCGACCCGTGTTAGCTCACTCAGCCGCCATCGAGAAAGTGATTGGAAGCTCTGACGGAGGCATTAGCGAGTCGCTGTTCCTCCGAAATTGACTTTCTCAGCGCTGTCGCTACTCTCTCGGCGGCACGCGGCCGCGCCAATATATTCATCATGGCAGCGGTCGGTTTCCTCCGGAGCTCTTCTGGGGAAGGTGCGGACTCGGGGCTCTATTTGCTACAAAAGTTGCTTATTCGCCCTCGTGCCTATTCTTAGACGATCCTTCTAGATACGATACCACGAAGCTGAGGATTTCGTCCTCGAGGAGCCCGAGAACCAAACGTCGGCGAGATAAGAGATCGATCGTTGTATCGCCTTCGAGGCTCTGAGTTTAGAGCTGAATTTTGTGCTCCTGTCGGAGCCCAGTCCCCGTATTCACTGGATTGATTTTTCGGGAATCGACGAGATAGTGTAATGTAATTCCAACTAACTTGGGTCGGGACTCCACGTTTCGGACGCGATGGAGACTCATCGCGGGTATAATCTCGTCCTGAGAGACTTTGTTCGCATATTCAATTTCCCAGACGAATGTATCGCGCTCCGCTCTTGCCGCTCGAGCGGTAGAAGTCAGCTGACGCACATCTCGAGAGCGGCGCCATTTGAATAATATCCCGCCTCGTAGGACACCGTCGACGACACGTTTCTGAAACCAATGCGCCTACAAATATATCGAGTTCAGGAGTGAATCCAACGCCTCGGACTCGACGAAATCCGAGTTCTGAGTCTTAGAATTCACAGCGCGTGGGAACGGAAAACTCTACTGGGGTGACGTAGCCGCTGCTCTGGAGTCGCTGGCTATCACCCGTCCACGGAGATTATTTGTCGACATGCTCATAGCCCACCGTCGACCTCCGGCAACAAGAGTATCAATTGATCGTCAATGACGTCCATTCCGGGCGGAAAGACCCCGTCCGACGACTTCGCAGAGTAATGACAAATTATCCGTCGAGAGCGACTAATGACGGTGTAGCAGATCAGTTTGGAGATGATCAATTTGCATCTCGGAACAGTCTCCTGCGCCAAAAACAGCCGAGAACCTTCCACCGTGAATGAGGCAACGACGAGGCATGAGTTCATGCTCACCATGAAGTGTCAAACGATGTCCACCCTACGGGCCACACTAGTCACTTGGAACGGCCCAGGTCTCGATCCGGGTCTGGATTCCCGAAATAATTCATCATTGAGTTATGAGTAATCGGATTGAATTTTCGCATTTTCAGCCCGAAGTTGTAGGATCACTCGTCTCGTTGACGGAGTTGTGGTGTGACAGTAATCGATTGTCGTACTTGCCGGGCTTCCTTGGAAATTTGCAACAACTCCGGTATCTCGATGCTTCGAACAACCGGATCTCGTGCATTGAAGACAACGCCTTCAAGAACCTCACAAATCTGGTAGACCTGACCGTTTCTTCGAACCGTCTCACCCGTTTTCCGGAGACGATAGGCAAACTTACCAAGCTGACGACGCTCCGAGCTGATGATAATCAGCTCCTAGGCCTTCCTGATTCCCTCGGCTACTGCTCGTTGCTCGAAGAACTCATCGCAAACGGGAACCACATGGAATATCTGCCTGGTGAGTTGGAGAGGCTCACGGAGAACGGAACGGAGTTCGGGGTGTCCATCCCCGACCCGTTCTCTCGATTTTCTGTTCAGAATTCAAATCCTGATCTTCTCAAAGGAACCATCGGACTCCTCCGACAATTGTCGCTGCTGATGGTGGACTCGAATTGGTTGGACGAACTACCCGCCGAAATTGGCTCCTGTAACGAACTGAAAATTCTGTCCGCGAGGGATAACAAGCTCGTCGATCTTCCGGACGAGATTGGTCATCTCTCAAATCTCAAGGTTCTCAGCGTGTCTGCCAATCGTTTACGGTGAGTGCGATCACTGACGAAATCAGGTCGACACAAATGAAGCACAGGGGCTCGTCGCGAGACGGCGTCTCTTATTTTCCTCTGTCGAGTTATCAGGACGCAAGAATCCGTCCTGACTTGATGACGATTCGATGCTAATGCCCGTTGCAGATATCTCCCGGCAACGCTGACAAGGCTCAAGCAGCTAGACGCGCTATGGCTGTCGGAGAACCAAACGAAGCCACTGATTCTCCTTCAATCCGAAGATGCAACCGGTCAAAGAAGACTTACTTGTTATCTGCTCCCCCAGGAGGGTGGATACAGCTCCAGCAATGAACGGTACTTGTCTGTTGATCGTTATCTATGTATTCCGATCTCCAGTCTATTCGTTCGAGAGGATCAGGCCGAAAGCTCCCGAGCCTTGAGCCTGTGGAGCAGGCGTTTGGAAAAAAGACGGTAGTTCTGTGATCTCTGTCAGGCGGAGATCCGACGATGAATCGCGATGTTATCTCCACAGCTTAACGCCGACGGAGTCTGCCGACCGCGAAAGGGAGGGACGTATACAGTTTCTTGGCGATTCGTTGGGCAAGGCGGGGGCGAAGCTCGTGCGTTCGCCCACCCCTTACCCGAAAGAACTTCGTGCACGTCACATGCGATTGCTACAAAACCGCCAAGGGGGACAAGCCTCTGCACAGGACGGCGCCGTGACACAGCAGCCGTCCAGTACTGGGAATCTCCTGGCCCAGTCACCCACGGGTCAAAGCACGCCACACCACACATCCAGCCACGTGACTATCGCCACGGGTGAGTTTTCCGTTCCGATTCTATTAATTTCGGATACGCAAAAAATTCCGCCCCACATCCCAGCATTCAGCTCCGGGAGCTCAATTTCGATTACGAATTCCTCAGACCCTCCCGAAGTGATTTCTCCGCCGGCCAACGGGACCGTCAAAGCTGACGCGGTTTGAGGTTTTGTTAAGAAGGTTGTGCGTTGAGAGCTACGAACGGCAAAGCGTGCCGTTCCAGCTGTACAGGCGATAACAACGTAAGGACTCCTTTGATCGGGACTGAAGACAAGCGATTGGTGATCGCGGACGGCCACAGCGAATCGCGCTCAATTCTCTCCGGCTCAACTAGAACTATCGACAGCAACCTAAATTAAGATGACGGATATCAGGGCGAGCACGAAACGAAGGGAAACGGCGTTTTCGGCGAGGGAATCGCTGAGATGCCGAGAGCGCGTTGAAGAAGCTCGACACGGGGATTTGCCTTCGTGTTCCGAAGGCGATTCTTAATTTGCTCGTGATTATTTATCCGATGGCAGCGCCAAAATGAGGGATTCCGATCCAGTATTAATCTATGAGGGTATGACATGACGTGTACCTTGAGTCGAGTGTATCTTTCACAGAGGAGATCCAATAACGGCGTCGCCTTTTCCGCGATGCTCTCCTAGGTGACACAATAGTATGTAGTTCTGGAGGCTGCCGACGCAGATCGCTTTCGGGTGGCTGATCTCGCAACACTTTAATTTATCCATGTCTAATATATATATATACATACATAGATCACTAAACACTGTTTCTCGTGTAACGAGGCGAACGCGGTACAGGTATCGTTGTTGGAAACATTTGTTGTTTTTGAGCTTCGCGCAGCAGATCGATGACGTAGCTCGTTCAGCCCGGGCCCTGAAGGCTGTACTCGAAGGTCCCCGGAAGAACCTTTCATTTTCCTCGTCGACGAACCGTCAGTAAGGTATTATGCCCATGAATAGAAGCATAAACTATCAGCGAGCGCTCGGTACAACGAAATTTCCGTACATTCACTCGGAATTACTACTACATGTGTGTAGTGTGGACGAAATGAAGGTTGGTGAAGTAGAAGAGCAGACTCGCGTCGAGCTCTTATAAGGCCTTATCCTGTGACACGTTTCCGCTCCGCATGAATAACTGGTTCAAGTACAAAAGAGATATCCGTTTTGGGAGGTATCAACTATCCAATATATTATATCCGGGAGCATAACACATCTCACACGGGCACAGGTAAAATCTGGAGAATTATCGCCGTTTCCATTGGAACAAGGGTAGAGCAAAGCTCAAGTTTCTATGCAGGTTCCACCAAGGGCGAGAAGAAGAAGATTGCTCGGGATCTATTTCAGTGCGCAGTATTCAGAAAGCTTTAGACTTCGGGGGAGCGTATCCGATGAGACTACGAATCCAGTTCTTTCCGACTGCGAGCTATTTCTCGGCCCGGCGTTTTCCATTTGATCGACTTATTGTCGTATGCGACGCATTCTCGAGACCGGAGCTTACTCTCGATGTGCCATAAGCGGAGCATATTGTCCTAATGCAGGCGAGAAAAATTCGAATTGCTTCAGTCTTCCCCGCAATGATCCACATGGTTGTGTATCATCGCAAATTCATGGAAACAATGGCTACGAAAACGTGTGATAAATATTTCATAATCTGGGCGACATGATCCGAATATCCTCTTCCATTATACGTCGGGAAGCAATGTACTCCTTGTTGGACGTCGGTCGGATACTTGATGGTATTACCCATATCAGGGGCGGATCCAGCTTTTTTTCTTGGGGGGGGCAAGTCATATTTTCAGGGGGGAAAGAGCCGAAAATGATGACGCGCCACCTCGCGGCCCATGCTTTTGTATAGGGATCGAAGATTCTTGGGGGGGGGCCATGGCCCCCTGGCCCCCCCCCTGGATCCGCCACTGACCCATATGGCTGTGAAGTTGCAGATTTGGTCGAACGCCAACATTCGATGTGGTAGGCGATTATAGGCTTTTTTCGGATGACTTCAGACCGGCGAGAAGACTTGGGAATCCTCGACCCCGAAAAACAAGGGTAGAGCCCAAAGCGGTCTTGATTTTCGATGGAGAGTGAAGAGGCAAGTCTGGATCTGTGAAACGTCCCTGATGTGCATACATGCTCTAATTAATTGAGTCCCTTAGTCCTCCGGCTGCGACAAGCGGCGTACTAAAGGGGGAGTAGCTCCATGGTTGACCTATGGGACGCAACAGAACGACCTTTGAGTAGAACTTTCTACATGAATGGAAACTCCTGATTCCTACCGAGTACCATCCGCTGGGGGGAAATGAATTCGAAGAATCAGCTCTCGACCAGAAATTCTCGATTAGGAACTCGTACAAACCAGACTAAGTTAGCAACCCTGTGATCGATTGTTGAATGGAAAAAATTGAGACACCCAACGCCACGGCGCGGCGTGGTGAAGGGCTTGCAATGATCGTAATGTGATTCCGGTCATTGGGACGACGGCATATTCCGTATTAAACTTAACGGTCTGACCGATCGCAGTAATTTCCACATATCTTTAGAGGTCTTTCACCAGGGAACAAAAATCTAGTCATAGAATAAGGGTCGATGTATAATGGAAAGCGTAAGCGTTCAAATAACGTCCAACAAACTAATGTTTGAGCTGCCCTGATTGAATTCGGAACTCTATCAGATCCACACATATCAGCGTGGAAAGCCGGGAGATCATACAACCCTAGCATCGAGATCATGGAATTCGAATCGAATACTGTACTCGAGTCATCCATATCGTGATGCTAAAAAATTTGGGCTTTTGCCAATCGAGAATTCGGAACTTGAGAAACAAAATATGAGAACCGTGAACCTTGTAAAAATAAAACACCTTTTGCACCGCCGATGAGAGTTTCGTTTCTCTGATGGATGAGATTAGCAAAGAGTAAAATGTGCAGGAAAGAGAGCGCACCCTCGATTTCTTCCCATGCTTGGGATTTATTCGGACTTCCACCAGCTAAAATAAAATCTTTAAGTCGCATACATAACAGTACATATTGAATGATAAATGACCACTAGAACCGAAGTTCAGATACTCTCGGTTGAACAAACATGCCATAGAAATTCGTCATCTAGCAATAAGTTACGAACAGATTTGTGATGGGATTGAACAATTGAGCTCCTGCTCCTGGTGAAGCGTGATCAGTTCATCGAAGAGGTACAACTAAAGACAATCGAAGGCTGTGACGCTCGACCAATGCGGACCCGTTTTCAGTTTTACGACGAGAGGCACTTGCAATGCGGCAGCGTGCTCCATCTTGAATCGGACTAGTTGTGAGACGGATGACAAGATAGCCTCATTCACCTGGCAAGCGATCGGATGGGAAATAAAATATAATCCACGAAGTATCTCCGCTGTCGTGCGAATGGAGGACAAAAAGGAAGATGGAGCCAAACGAAAGGAGGAGATCGACTGACCTCGAGGATGACTTCATCGTGGAGCTGCATAACCATGAAAGCCCCGCGAATGGGAATCTCCCGAGGGTCTGGAAGAGATACCCTGGTCACTCTGGCCCCGAGTCTTCTCCCTCAAAGACTCGTTAGAATGAAGGTCAAAAAACCCAAAGATGATCGGTACGCTATGGTTGAATTTCACGACTGAAGCGCCATCATTTCTTACCCAGTGCAGCGCGATGCGGTCGAGAAGCGTCGGGAAATCTTCTCGACAGCTCAGCGTCGATTTCAATCAAGCAGCTCTTCAGGAGGTCAGCTGCAGAGCCTTGAATTGTCGAGTTCACCGCTTGTCTCTCGGCCCGCGCCTTTTCTGCAGCTTTCGAGGAGTTTATTTGCGGTAGATATCTACGCCGACCCGACATCGTAGATATATAGCCTGTCCGTCGGCAATTCAGAATGATCTCACTCGTGAATTTCGATATACCTGAAAGCTATTCAGTTGACGGTTCTTCTGATCTATATGCACCGAGAGAGCAATTATTTTACGTAATCCTCCGCTGCAATACGAACCGGGGAATGCGGTATGGAAGCTCCTCAGGAAAGCCTCGCCTTCGGCCAGCGGCACGCCCAAGTCTTCGGCAAGACTTTTGACCCCTTTTCCATATATAATGCCATAACACAATTCTTTAGCTTGCTGCCGGTGCTTATCCAGGACCTCATTCGCTGGAATCTGCCGCCATTGTGCAGCGACCTGGACAAAAATGTCCGTTTCTGGCTTTCGAAACATCTCACACAATAGAGGATCCCCCGATAGATGCGCAAGCAGTCGCATCTCGAGTTGGGAGAAGTCCGCGCTAAGTATCACAGCTCCCGGCATGGGAACGAATGCCTTGCGGATGAGGATATCGTGATCAGCTGATCTGAAGTTCCGCGCCATGCTCTGGAGATTCGGATCCTCGAGCGCCATCCTACCGGTCATGGTGTACGGCGTCGATCTCGTGTAGATCCGGTGCTGCTTTAGCTCACTGTGGAAGCTCTTCGCTCTCAAAATGGGATACATATCCCGAGCTAGGATCGAGGCGATTTTTCTAGCGTCAACGATCAGTTGGGGCAACTCTTCACCGTCTTCGGAGAGTTTCAGGAGGATCGATTTCGACGAGAGCTTCAAACTTTTTGGTTGCTCGCGTCCGGTGATCAGTTTGAGCCGGACCAGTTTTTCCTGGAAGATGAGACTGTTGAAGGACTTGGAGGAAATCTTCGCGCGGTCGTATTGGAAAAAAATTCCTGGGTGTCCCGGTCCCAATGCTGATTGTTCCCCACGACCGACCTTATAAAGCGAGTATATCACTTTCGTGACGTCGACTGCTGAAGAAATCTTGAAATTACGTCCAGCGTGCGTCATCATTCGCGTTTCCAGCTCAAACTGAAGGAGTCTGAGAGCGTTGATCTGCGCTTCACAAATTTTGTCGTCGTACCTGATGAGAGAGAATCCACGAATGAGTTACGCGCAGTGCACAATCCCAACGAGCTCCCCATGCACAGAGCGTCTTGATGAATCATGGATCGCAGCGGGAATCATTATTCGTCGATCGCTTACCCGAAACCGTTCAAATCCATCTTTGCGAGTACCCAACAGATTTTCATCTCTTTCGTGAAAATGTCCCTCGATATCTCCTTGGAGTTCAGAGCCGATTTCAAAATACTCATGAGCTCAAAATGGACACAAGCTTTGAGACAAGACGGAGGGATCTTGAGCTTCTTTTTCAGAATCTTCAGAGCTTCCGGGAAGTATATTTTGCACAAATTTTCAAATGTAGGCTTGTAGATTGAAGAGTCGATCAGCCAGTGAGCAATGCATGCGTCCTGTGTAATTCGAGAAAAAGTCCATATTGAGCCTCCCACTGTGTTTAGATGAATCTATGCAGTCAATATACCCACTAGGTACGGTGACTCGTTCTGGAAAATGCGACGAATTGTTGGGGGGGGACGCACCTCCAGTCTCACGAAGTGGCCATCCGGGAATATCCCCAAGGCCACCATCAAGATTTTGAGCTGGGTGATACAGTCGAACAAAATGATCGTATGGCGACCCTGGAATAGCTTTGTGAGCAGCCTCAACGACGGGTCGTCTTTGTTCTTCAAGGTGAAGTGATACGCCTCAGCGCAATTCATGGCACAAACAAAACCGGTGACTCGGTTGTTTTCGAAAGTCAGGGCCGGAACGTCCTCTACACTCTGGGGATGGACCAGCATCGGTCCGATACGGACCCTCTCCTCATTGGGTTCGGTGTCTAGCACTATGGAGATCCTGGAACGCAGGAGGATGATATTTGGACCGAGAATTGCTGAGCCGTGGCAATGCTCACCACTCAGGGATTCCACAACTCACCTTCCTCCCGCGCTTTCTATCTTCTGCAGGAGCTCACTTTCCATGACATTTCGGAAAATGAGGATTTTTTCTAGAGTGGATGAAGTCACGTCTTCTCTTTGACTGACAGAAGATTCTGAAGAAATACGGAGTCTGGAAGCAGAGGAAAGAGGCTCTGCTAAGAAGGTCGACTCGTAGTAAAGGCTCGAACAATCCATTCTCTCGTACTCACTCGAGGGACGCCTGCTCCGAACAGGTCGACTCCTTGACGTTTCTGTTAGGGGTACCGTTCTCCCCGTCGGAGAACAAGTCGCTGTCCGAATCATGACTTGACACAGATTTCGTCATGTCACCCGTATGTGTGGGCGTACATAAAGTAGAGATCATGTCCAGCGTGTCCTGGGCTTCGGGATTAGGCACGCATGCGCTCTGGTTGGGTCGTGAGAGACAAGTCAGAACACAGTCTAAATCTGCAGCACTATCGTTGGGCTGCATATTAGCGATTTTAGTCTTCTGGGTGATGCCGTCCATTTGACTCGAGTTGAAAATCGCTAAGGAATCCTCGACCCGTGGCTGGAACTCTTGAGCCTCTTCCAAGCTCCGCCGCACTTTTTTCCGGCTTGTACCAGGCTCGCCATCGCTCAGCCTCTTGATGCCGCCCGTCCTCAGAGACTCCGAGAATGATTTGGCTTCCTCCAATAGCGTTTTTCGTTTGCTTGGAGTCAAACGGATCCCTGAGAATCATAGAAACTTGAATGAAGGGAGAGGTGGTGATTCGGGCTGGACGATTCGATTGAATGGTGGGCTTAGGGGAGACCGAATCTCATGGGAGGAAAACTCACTCGGAGCAGTCGTGTCGCTTGTCGAGACATCCGCTGGAATCGGATCAGGTGGCCGGGGGTTACCATCGGTGAGTATGCCGTCGAACAGAGAGGTGTCCGTGGTGCTATTCTGGGTTTTGACCCCGTCGAAAATGGAGTCTCCAATCGACTCACTCGCTTTGCGCTCAGAACTCGTTCGAATGTCGTCTGCCGCGTTCGGCGGAGACAGAATGTCGTCGAACAAACCGGAGCTCGCCGTATTCGACAACACGGAGCGATTACCCTCCTTGGCAACACCCTGTCATAAGACGAGTCAGTCCACTATCGCAGATGCATTTATCTCTCGTCAGAATTTCGAGCTGAACTCTGGACACCAGTTTGAGCTGGACCTACCTGTATGGACACATCTGCGGCCGAAGAAGACTGGTTGGGAGTGGAGAATAGTGGAACTTGAACTCTATTCGACGCTGGGAGAGAAACTTTTGAGCTACTCCTGGGGACATCTTCGCTCCGATCCCCCTGATCCAGACGATCTGAGTCCATTCCCCCGATTGGATCCTCGTGATCCATTGCGGCTTCCGAAGTTCGAGGACTTCCCGCCTCCGAGGACTTTCCGTCGGCGGGAGGCATGCTTCGGTTCACTCGATCCTCATCTTTTTGGAGTTCTTCGACATCACTATCCTCGATTTCCGAATTTTCGCCGGATTCTTCCGTGACTTTCGGGAGAGAGTTTCCGGGATCTTCTTCGATCCCGTCGGATTGCTGATTTTCGTGGATTTCGTCCATTGGTTGGGAAGGCTCGCATTTTTCAATTTTACTCTGAGAAGGATTCGCAGGATCCTGCGTCTGCTGACTCAAAGGCATTTCTTTCTTGTCGAAGTCTACTTTCACACCCAACCAATCATGTAAAGTCTTCCTGGCTTCGTCGATGAGTATTCTTGCTGCTTTCCTTTCATTCAACGAGTCGAATCCGTTCAGGTATATCCAGCGGACTTCCGAAGAGCTTTCGCCGTTGCTGGAGAGAACAGAAAGATTAAGAATGGATGGAAAATCATTCGAAAAGCTGTGCGGTTCTCTTCACGTCAGTCGTCAGTCTGGAAACAAGAATATTTCAATACGATATGAACTTACTTGGTTTGGTAAGCTCTCGCGTTCCTAAGGGCGCTTTCGACTTCATGAAGCTCTGCGCGAGCCACTTGCGGCAAATTTGTGAAGCCCGCGTTGAAAAGTATCCTAGCTACCTGGAATTTCCGTTCTCCCTGATTTAGATACCTGAGTGTCTTAAGACTTTTGACCTGCTCCAGGATATCTGACTGACCTGTGCCGTCATAGGGACTAATTGCAGAAGCTCACAAAGCTCTTGTTGAACCCCGAAGTGTAGTCGCTTTTGGAATTGAGAAATGAGCAATTCCAGATTGTGCCAACCCAAACGTTTGCAGAATATCGAGACCATTCCTGAATTCCGGTAGCGGTTCCATGAGATCACGTATCAAGGAGGGATCCAATAAAATCATTTGAAGAAAGGTTCCGTGGGGTAGACAGAATAGAGCAAAGTCTCTCGATTCCTCAAATCAAACCAACTTTCATTGGAAAACATTGATCCAGAGAAGGAGATAGGAGTTACCTGCGAATGTTGCAGCGCTCTGCTGAAGGTTTTGTAGTAAACCTTTCTGGAGGCCAAACTTTTCCGATACTTCTGACAGAGGAACTTCCTGAACGAGCTCATTGAGGGCCAATGCGACGTAGAATCTCTGATGAAGAGTGACTTTCGAACTCATTTCACGCTTCGATGCAGCAGCCTGCCAGAAGAATCAGACGAGTTAAGAAACCGTGAAGAAATCCCTGTCAGAAATGCGACCTTCTGTCGGAAACCGTTCTTGGCTTCCGCCGTCGAATCGCTAGTGCTGAGACTTACTCGAATGCACTTGGAAACGAAAGCCGGCTCAAATCCTATGACTTCTGCTACTCTTTTCCGATCTTCCGTCAAGGCGTCATATGTTTCCATTAGTCGCATCCAATCGATAGCTGCTTGTTCGCTGATGAAATACGGAGTCACCTGAGAGCAAATTGTAGCCCGGGATTATTTATTGAAGCTGATCCAAAGTTTCGAAACCGTGAGTAGGATGGTGGATAAGTGCGCGAAAACGATCCTCGGACTCCACGTGATTTTCAAGCTCGAATGATGATCCGTCTCTCTGACTTGCCTACCTCGTAGATGATATGGAGGTCGTTTTCGAGGACGAAGCTCTGTCGTGATTTCTTCAACTCTCGTAAAACTAAGAGCGCCTGATCGGGGGATAGACTGCTGGCCAGTACAGCTAAGCCGAGTTTGGTGGGGGTCACCCTGCCTTCGTCGTCCTCGGTGCAGACCTGGATTAGAGGCTCCGTTAGTTTCGGATGAACACTGTATATGTCAATACAGGAACGATGTGCTAGTCGGACGAGGGCGGTCGAGCATGAGCCTCACGCTTATGAAGTCGTTTTTGACGAGATAATCGACGCAGTCTTTCGCAGATGATGTCGAGCCGTCGTCGTGATCTTCAATGCACTTGCTCGAAAAAGTGCATTCGATGTACGTATCAATGTCCTTGAGGGATTTCACTTTCCCCGACGCGATCACCTCCATGATGGCTCTCTTCAATCCTGAAGATACGGAGCCTCGAGAACTCAAGCAACTCCGAACGGGGTGGAGTTTCATCGTCGCCAGCCTGGTTGCCTGTGCGCGCTCATTCTCTTTGCACATGAGTATCGATTCGCCTCGCTCATCGATGCCTGTTTAGAACCGAGATCAGAAATTTTGAAAGAGCGGCTCGAACGACAATCGGGAGAACGATATCTTCAGGTGGAATGTCGTCTCGACCTTTTCGTCCCGCGCGACCGATCATCTGCTTGTAGGTCATGACGTCGAGGAGCTGCCTCCCGAAAATCGGAGTCCTTATGATCACTCTACGCGCGGGCAGATTCACTCCAGACGATAGGGTAGACGTCGCCGTCAATACATTTATAATTCCTAGAATCGATAGAATGTATGAAGAGACTCCAATTGTTTTCGAGCAGTTCGTGGACTCCTGGGACCGAAGATCCACTCACCGGCCTTGAAAGCGTTCTCGATGATGTCGCGCTCATCGAAGGTCAGTCCTGCGTGGTGGAAGGCGACTCCGAAAGGGACGGTCTTCTCAAAAACTTTATCCAGACCTGCTGGCGACTGCTTCAGTTGCTCCAGAACGTCCTGTAGGGGAATAGAGAAGTTTCAGCAAGTGATATTCGCCCTCGACGACGGATCGCACGTCTCTACTCGACCAATCGATACCACTGAGTGAGCATAATGAACGAATGGATCAGAATCTGATTGTTGGGAAAACTTGCCTGAATCGCTTGTCTGTTATTCACTGCGCGGAGCTTGACTCCCAGCTCGAGTAAATCCGGCGGCACGCTTTCGGGATCTGGTGGTGGTCTTCCTACAGCTAGGAATGCCCTCGCGATCTGTTGGCTCATGGTTTCGCACCAAGCCTTCGTTGGAAGAAACACAAGAACTCCGAATCCCAATGAGACAGTGTGGACGATCAGAGACAGCGCGCCGTCTACGTCATCGACAGGGAGCGGGAATCTCAGTAGCGGAATCGAAGCCTCGGCGGACGTGGTGATGTCTCGGGGTGACTCGGCTCCAACCTTGAGGCATTCGGTCAGAGGAACGGGCCTGAAGTCTGTTGTATAGAGAGCTGCGTCCAACCAGCCGGCGATAAGGTCCAAGTTGGGTAGCGTTGCACTCATCCCGATAATCTGTATATCACAATTCTCGTTTTGCCTACAAAATATCAAATCGATCCTCATGTCAATTGATTTTTGTGTTCCATGAAGGACCGGATAGGCCGACAGGATCGTGATCAGGGAAGAGGGAGCGCGAAAATCAGGACAGCCATCAATGAACATGATATCTTTCGGAATACCTCCGGTAGAAGATCAGCTTGGTCAACAGCAACTCGAGGAGGTAACCTCTCTGGGACTCCCCGAGCATATGAAGCTCGTCAACCACAACGCAACAAATCTCATCGATGACGTCTTCCTCGAGAAGCTTATTGATGAGCGCGTTCGCCTTCTCAATCGTGCAAACAGCGATGTCGACCGATTGGAAGCCTCCGACGGGGAGATGGCTCCCCATGTATCCTCCGACCCGAATCCCACCCGATGAAAACATGTCCTGGAATCGAATTCATTGTTCGCGCAACTTGACCTTTCAGCAGTTTTCTCTTCTATCACAACAAGATCTCATTATTTCGAGGTAAACGGTGTTATGTGCGATCGAGGTTCGGTTCTCACTTGGAAGTAGAACATCTTCTCTCTGGTGACGGAGACGAAGGGTAGAATCATTACCGCTTTCTTCCGGGTTTCCAGAACCTTCTTCAGCATCAGCAGCTCAGACACCAAGGTTTTACCAGCGCTCGTTGGGGCAGAATAAACCAAGTTTTTCCCTGAGTGATTGTCAAAACGCAACTCAATTCTGAGGCAAAAATCTACGGTCCCAGACCACCATCTTCCCAGAGGCTTTTGAGACCGGGGTCGCGGCCAATACCTTTGAGGACTCCTTTTGTCATCAGGCACTCCACCTGCCATTGGAACATTTTCCGAACTCCCTTGCCCTGGTAGTTATCAACCACGGCGGATGGTAGACCCCAGAGACTGATATCACGAAGCTGCTCCACGTCATGAGGACCTGAAACAATAGATCCCACACGAACGATGATGTTATCCTCTTTCCAGAAAGCCTCATACACATGATTGAAGTCGGCCCTCCGATTCGCTCATCGAAATGGCTCGAGATGGCAGCTTCCAAACCCGCCGACGCGTCCACGGCGCAATCGTCGAGACGGTCGATCGAGAATTCTAGGTATCGGGTTTCTCGGTAGATTTCGAGTGAGGGCCGCGATGGTTTGTTCTCTCACCCAACTGAGATAGACTCCTCGAATCGTAATTCATTCTTGCGTTGCTTCCTAGCGATTGCTCCGCGGTAGAACCGAGGGAACTCGTAGGGAGAAGATCGAATATCGCAGCTGCCGAGGGAGCATTCGTCGCGCTTGCGGCCGCGAGCGCCGAATCCCAAATAGGGAACGAACTCCTCAGTGGAATGCCGGGTCAGCTGTTCGGCGCGCCGCAGAGGACAGAGGATCAACACAGTCTGCAATGTTTTGAGGACGAACGTCATCGGCGCGACGACGACCCCGTTCGGAGTTCGGAGGAGCGTCGCGCGAGATGATCCGTGCGGCCACCGGGAGGTCTTTAGCTGGATTCTTCGCGCATCAGAACCGCCTTTCTCTTCAACGTGAAGGTTCGACTGGATTCATGGTCCTCATTGGGGGAATGTCGCACCCTCCCTGTTCCAGTCCATATCAGTCCGGAATGTTCGAGTTTTTCTCACTCTTGCGGCGCGTTGTGGGAAACGATTAGCCTCCACAAGCCGATCATTCCGACTTTCTCCGGAGCGAGAGTCAGCCTACTGAATAATGCTTAGTCATCTGTCATCTCTCTTCCGCCAGTAGGTCCGGGGTAGAATTGAGAAGAGAGCGGTATTCAATTTCGAACTGAAGTTCCCGACCCGACGTGACCCGGAGGACCGCGTCACAAGAGCGAGCTATGGAATTCTCGGAGTCGGCAATGACCATTACCGGCGTACCGCGTACCGCCGGCAATCATCTTGAAGACTCTCGTGACGACATTTTGTCGTGTCAATCGAGGGATAGCAAGAATTCAATCGCCATTCGATCTCCCCCAGGAATCTTTCGAAGCTTATGCCTTTTTCATGCCCGACCAAAGGAAGGGTCACCAGGGATCTCTTCCGCGTCTGGCGGCTGCATGATATGCTTAGCGACTTCATCGATTGAATCGGATCGGTCTCAGTCAGAGAATTCGTCCTTGCGCCGCCGACGCAAACATAGCCTCCCATCGATGCTAGTCGGCACGTCGACGGATGAATTCTATTCGCGGAATCGGAATTTCATCCTCGCGTGATTTGCCACAACAACGGACTGCAGCTGATGGCACTGAGTCCGACTATCCGTCTGTCCGCCGGCCCGCCCGCCTGCCTGCCCGCCCGTCGGGGAAACTCGTGCGTCACGTGAACTACGTTGATTAGTGCCCTCAATAACAGTGTGGGCTCCGCTTGGAGCTTCGACGGAGCGTTGTTGTCAAACAAATTTTCGAAATGCAATTTTTTCTTCATAGGTCTTTCGCTGCGGCATCAATGGGTTTCTGATTGCGGCTTGCCCGCTCCGAAAGACATCATGTCCGTGGTCGCATTGACACAGTGTATCAGAAGTGACAGCTCCAAGTGACGACTGATGCCGCTCAGCGGAGCGTCGCTGCCGGCGCCCTGAGGCATCTTGGCAAAGCTCCGCAGCGCTTCATGCCCATCCGCAGAAACACGGCTTCTAATGAATGAGTTCAGCGCGGATGCTAATCGACCAGGTCCATACCGTGCAGCGGATTCGTTACGTGAAAACTGTCCCACTGCCGCTATCGCGACAGATTCTGAAGCCTCTTTACGATTTGGTGAACGTGACTCGGTCGAAAGCCGGCCGTCCGTCCGGCATGTTTGGGAAGCTACGGCTATTTTTTTTATCTACAATGAAACGCTTCGGCAACGCCATTGTGCGAGAATCCCTGGTAGAATGAGGCGGATTTGAACAAATTCCACGCTTGACATGGAGTTATTCCGTGGAGAAAGGCGCGCAGTCGTTCGCGCACATGGATTCGGCCGGGAAGAATGACAGACAGCAGAACACGAATTTCTGCGACCATTCTGACTTCAATTCCAAGCTTAACCCGAGTCGATTCGTAGCGGAAATGTCACAATGGAGGGCGCAGGCTGAAGCAGAGGGGGAAGGCAGCCGCAATCAATGACGAATGGGATTCTCATTCGTACGGAGGTCATACAACGAAATCATCGTCGACATACGCAGTCAGAATGCACTTTCCCGTAGATCTCGACTTGAATGCTTGCGAACCGAAGGACTTCTGAAGAGATTCGATAAGAATCGAAACGTTGACTCGACCGAGTTCCTTCCTAGTCCAGATCCGGGAAGAACTCATTCAGAGCGATATCGACTCGAAGATTACTCCGCCGGAATTCCCTCACGAGTCCGGATCGATAGTTGGTCGGACGGCATTCATGGAGACATGAGGTGCGAACTCAGTCTCAGTCGGGAGGGAATGCTGCGAAGATATTTTGCCGCTTTGAATGCTTCGCTGTTGGCGTGTGGGCCGAGTTCCTTGTCAGAGTCCTCGGTTGCCTAGGTAGTCGCCGCCGATCGGTGGATCGATGCAACAGTGGATCGATGCGGTCTCTTCGAGAGAGCCTCGGGCAACGAAGACAGCTCCGCAGTCACACGAAAAACGTCGATTCTACAATAAGAATCCGCTCAACAACAGGCCTCGCTGTTTTCCTGCCGGAGATCGGTTGACGTCACTATCGCTGGAGCGACTCACCGAAGAATGCGTGAAATTCTCTCCGATGGAGGAATCGTGTTCGATTTATTCTCGATCGTCACAACGACCATCACGTGCGAAGGAATTCCTGAAATTGTGAACTCGGGCAGACTCTCGAATCGTCCTCATCTGCGTTTTCCCCACACACGCAATAGTTTTCTCCCGTGACATCGGCGACATTCCTGACAAGATGTACGAATCCAGGCACCTTCCTTCCCAGCTAGAACGTCTTACCTCAGACCAACCTTGAGGACAACAAACAAGGACCTTGACGCAAGCGACCTGGACCTGCATGGGCAGGTCGTCGGAAGCCATTGCGTCATTTTTCCGATCACTTGGCGAGCGCTCGCGGAGACATCTAACTGAGTCTCAATCGAGCCCACAGTCACTGACGGAGGGAGAATGAACGGAATGGTTGGGATTGCAATGACAGGCCGCTTGAAGCCGTTTATTGATACCTCCATCACTGGAGGAGACATTCAGGAATACAAATACATGTACAATACTTTTGATGGAGATGGAAATTCAGCATTTCTACACATATATGCATGAAGCAAATTCACAATCAGTATTCGGAGCTTATGAAACGGAGAGACCATCTAAATGGGTGAGATATTCAAAACGTAAATGAACCAAGAACGATATCCTGCTCCTTCTCGCGTTTGCGGAGAGTTTTCAGAGTCAGAGCAATCAGTCATTAGCTTCATTTCGACGACCTGGCAAGTGAAATTAGTCGACACCGGCACATTTTTGGCTTCGATTTCAACAAAAATGTGCTAGTGCCAAACAACGCACTGCCTCACGCACGGTGAATAATTAGGGTCTGACACCGTTCTCGACCGATCGACAACCTGAATCCCTCGCAGTTTCCCGCTGTCCTCCGACCCGGGCCAGTCATCCTCGCCGCGAAGCTTCAGCGTTCACCTCTGCGTTAATTACTTTTTTAGGGTGCGTACGTGCAGATGATTTGTTCACACGTCAGTGCAGTGTTGGCGACGGATAATTCAGATTTTCGGGGTTAGTTTTTCAAGGGTTGAGACACCGTAGTGAATCATTTCCATCGTCATGGGTCCTGGTATAAACGAGCATCGTGAAAACCACAAACCGAACGAGCTTCCGAATCAAACTTACCTCGTAAACAAAAACTTTCTCTCGGAATGCAGCGAAACATAACAACGAAGGAATTTATGCCTCAGAAGGCACTACAGAAGCCACAGATTCCAAAAGTCAACCGTGAATTCTTGCAGTGCCATTCGGGGCAAAAAACAAGCAAAACTGAGAGGAACGAGAAGAAAGCCTCCGCAAGATGTTGGTCCGCTCGGCGGCGTTCGGGTGTTTTGACCAGCCGCCAAGGCACCCCCGAGCAAGCACCTGAGAAATCAAGACCTCTTCAGACACGTGGTCTCATCAGCGATGACGATGATTATGACGTAACGGCGATCGGGTTCCGTTCGCTACGAGTTCCGCCGCCGCCCACTCACTTGTATATTTACATGACGTTAACCACGTGGCCTGCTGATGCACCCAAACGGCCCGTCTGCTGATAACGATACATACCTGAAATGAGGCCTAAGGGGTCTGAAGCCCATGAGAATGGAAATTTATTTGAACAGCGTACGGATTTGTCATTCAGGAGAAGCGAAGCTCCTGAAGCGGTTTTGTCAAGGCGCTGGAGCGCCACAGGTGTCGGCGAACTCATCCCTGAATCTGGTGGAAATTCGGAGCCGGCGAAACGCAGGAAGGCAGAGCAGTAGAGGAATTCCCTCGTTTCGGATCGGCTCCGATGATCTTCTCTGTCATCACGAACCTCCCTCATAAGTGCAGTGCCTCCGAACGCTTTGAACAACTTCACGTCCAGATGGACAGAGAGCTGGCCGGCCGGCCATGCGAAAGGTGGGTCGCTCGGTCTTGATGAGAGAAGGGATTGTAGATCGGAATCGGTAGTCCTCATTTGACTCCACTCTACGATAACCGGAATTTCTGTAAATCTCTCCGCGTTAAATTCTCACCCCTCCATGGAATTACGCAGAGGCTGTCCGAATGTTGACGTAGCATGTGCACGGAGAAAACGGCAACACACAGAACGGAGACGGGCGATTCTTTGTGTAAGAAGTTCCGATGCCGGCGGCCGGCGCGGCGTCCGGTTCTCACGAGTCTCTCAAGCGAGACACAGTGTTTTTTTTTCTTGTAAACTCATTCCATTTTCCCCGCGTACAAT